ACCATTACCGCACGCTATGTTGGGCTGACCCTAGGGCCGGAGCGCGAAGCCCGAAGAATTGCGTTCTCGCTCGGCGCTGTTGCCTTCATTATGCCATGACCTTTGTTTCCAGCCCTTCCCATTGTTGCTCTTACCTCTGCCAACTTCACGACCTTGACATGATGTACACGTATTGCTGCCAGTTCTCGACACCAAGAAGTACTTTGTCTTACGTCTGTCTGTCCTGTTGCAATGTGTTCCAATCCGGTGTACATTCAGAATGACCCATGGAGACTCACTAGCATAGAAGAAGAAGATATGATACGTTTACGGTTATTTTCACCAGGTGCGACGGCAGGTTTGGCACTTCGTGAGGTTCACGCATCGACCAATGAGAAACATCCAAAGTTCCAAAGTAAAGTTAAAGTTAAAATATCATATCAGGCATTTAGGGTTAGGGTTAGCGCAACGTAGGTGCCAAAAAAAAATGGCCTGCCCAGCCCGAGGGCCGAAGCAGAACAGGAAAATATTGAGACGGTGCACGAGCCGAAGCTCGTACAAACCGCAAGGCTCCCCTGGGGACAAGGTCGCCGTGCTATGAGAGATCCTCACGGCCCACGAACCCATGTACGTGAAAGGGCTTGTGCCATCAAGGTAAGTATGAGGTGTTGTCATGTCGCGTCCTCGCTTATATACTGTCGTGCCCGCGCCTGCTCGCGCACGGGCCACTTGTACTTCAGGGCAGGTCCCCATCAATCACGACGTCGCGGACCCGGTCGCGGTCGCGCGGGGTAGCACTACGCTTGTTCCCTGTTTTCGACGTCGTCCCCGACGTTCTGCGTGGCATATGTTGCGCCGTGAAATCTTCACTGCTCGGTGAAGCGGACGTCTGTCGAATTTTGTCACTCTAACTCCGGCACTAGCTATAATTTGACCTCTGCAATACTACGGCGTATGTCGTTGTGCTCATGGCCGAGATATGAATCACAGCATCCTTGACTCTACTGACGTGGCTGAGGCCGGCTTCTGCAGATATAAGATGAGCTTTTCGAGGAGCCTGAGTTTTCAGGCACCTCAGAAGCTCGTCTTGGGCACAGTTCTCCTTTCACTTCCAATCTTCACTTCCTTCACACATCAGACTAGAGGATCATGTCCAGTACTGAGGAACAAAAGCTAGCGTTCTTGTCATCCCCTCGGTATGCCGTTGTTGGTGCATCCAAGGACGAGACTAAGGTCGGCACCAAGGTACGCCTGTAGTCTACAGCCTCAAATGCGGTTATTAACCATGATCTTGTGCTACAGGTGCTGAAGTGGTATGTTGAGCACGGCAAGGAGGTCACTCCTGTGCACCCGGTTCGTGCTGTTTTTTTGATACAATTATAGTCCGTTGAACTTACCTTTGTGAGCAGAAGGAGAGCGAAATCCAGGGTCTTGCGGCTGTACCCACCCTTGCAAACCTTCCTGACCCGACACACACTTCCGTGAGCGTTGTCACCGGCCCTAAGGTATGTCATCCTCACTCTGTGCGTTTGTCTGAGGGTAGCTAATGGCCCTAATCCGCGCAGGTTACGCTCAGCGTCCTCGAGCAGGCCAAGGCTCTTGGGATTCCCCAGATCTGGCTGCAACCCGGCACGGACGACGAGAATGTCACGAAGTACATCAAAGACAATGGTCTTGCCGATAAGGTCGTCTACGGAGGCCCCTGTGTTCTTCGCGAGGGCGACGGCCTGCTCAAGAGCACGTGAAGTGCTTCCGAGCACTGAATATTGATGATCCGCCATAGATGTCGCGTGTACCCGTATTTAGAAAACCCTGCTGTATAGTGTCGTACCCCTACGTAGAAATATTTCCTGACGGTGTTCCGAATCTCAAGCCTTAGGATTTGTTAGAATACTCAACATCCGTTTGAGACTGTCTACTGTTGTTTGGCTGCAGGCACGCGATAACGTTGACTGGATGGAACCCGGCTTCCACCCTTTCGTGATTTGCCCACCTGTAGCATTTCAGCCCACAGTCGATCCGGGTTTCTTGCTCTTCTGCAGACTGCATAGGTGGGATCCGAAGAGTCACGTCATCGGTGAGTGGTATCGAGCACAAACGGTACACTGATCGCACAATATTTGAGAGGAACTACAAAATGTAAACAAGTGAAACAGAACGATGTGGACAAGTAAGGGATGCGGAACAGATGCGAACGCAATACTAGCATTCAGTACTTGAGCCTTCCACGTACCATGTTCGTGATAAGATCCTTCCCCTTGATCACGCTGGTGAGCCAGTTGCCTAACATGATGCCCCAGAGGAAATCGAAGTATGACGCGCCATGCGACTACACAGGCCCTTTTAGCAACGTTCGCTCACAAGGACAGGTCCAGACTCACTCTTCCGAAGGTGATGACAATCTTCTCTGACGTACCCTTGTAGACCTTCTCCTGGGGCTGGCCCTTGAGGAAACTGACGATGTTCGGCGCGATGATGGACGCATAGCCCCCAGTTTTGCCAGCCTGCTTCTGCTGGCGCCAGTCGATGATGTCGCCCGCGGCATACACACCCGGATGGCTCTGCAACTCGAGTGTCGGCTTCACCTTGACGTAGCCGGCCTCGGTGAGCACATCCGAACCGAGCGTGTTTATGACGCCTGTGTTAGGCTTCGAGCCAAAGGCCTGGATCTGCGAGGGTGTCAGCGCGGGATGCGGGATTCTGAGGGAAAAAGGGACGCACCACAAGGTCAACACCCTTGATCGTCTTGCCCCCGCGCGTGACAATGTCGGTAGTGTGGAGAGGCTCAGGGAAGACGTCGATGTAGTCCTGGTTTATAAGGGTAACCCCCCGGGAGAGAACCTTCTGCTCCATGCTCTTCCGGAATTTGTCCGGGTACACGTCGTTCAGCAGTCGCGTGCCACTATGAACAAGCGTGACTTTGGTGTTCTATGTAGATGAAGAGCTATCAGCGGCACCATAGGCCATGACAATCGCACCATGCTCACCGGATACGCGTCGATAATCTCGCCGGCAAGTTCTAGACAAGCTGTCAGCATTATATCTGGGAAGGAGGGGATGACGCAACTTACCAATACCGACCGCACCACCGCCCGCGATGACCACATTCTTCGCCTGGGCGAACCTCTCGCGCCAGAGCTTGATAGTCTCGCGCACCTCCTTGTCTGAATCTTCAAGGTCGGCGACGCCTGGCCAGATGGAGCCCGTCGCGAGGACGAGGGCCGCATAGTTAAGCCGGTCGCCGTTCTCGAGAACGAGGACACCACCCTTGCCAGGAGCAGGTTCCTCGATCTTCACGAGCTTGCCCTGAACAAAGGTCGCCGGCATGCGGTCGTACGGCACGAGCACTCTGTCCTCGAGCCGCCCAGCGTCGGAAACGCCCATCCGCAGCACGGCGAGGAGGTGCACGAAGTACGGTCGCGCATTGAGCAGGGTGATGTTGTACTGTGTGTGGTCGAGCTGCTTCGCGAGGGCATTTACGGCATCGACGCCGGCATAGCCTCCGCCGACAATGACAACGTTCTGCTTTTGCTCGTCAATTTTCTTGGACATGTCGTTGGAAGCTTTGGCCGTTCGGAAACGCGATCTGTGCGTTTGGGCCTTTCCCACTCGCGGCTTTATACGCGCTCGTCGTCGACATACCTAAGCATTATCGGCCCTGACTCAGCGTTCGTTTGACGAGTTTGCACAGCCCAGTGAGACAACGACCACCGTCTTACTCAGCAATCTGTTTCACGGAATTGCTCGAGGTATCAGAGTGTATCAGCCCGAGGAACATAGAGTAGTTCCTATGAGAAGAGGGAAATTGCTCGTCTTTAGAACTTCGGCCCGTTTGGCGAGGACAGTTGTGTCCTTCTCGTGAGCGTCCAGAGCGATTTTTCTGACGACCATTAGCTCGTCTATCAGATGTTACAATAATAACTCTACCATGTATACAGGAATCACCGTCGCAATACCCTACGACCCCACGACATTGCCGCGTGAGTCCAAGTAGTAATAAAAGTCCAATTTTGTTCCACAATGCCCTCGAATTGGGTCTCGTCCCATCGCGAGCGCCTTTCACCTGTTTCCGTCAGCGTATACTTCAAGACGTCCTTGACGGTGACAAGACCACAGAGTACGCCTTGGTCTTCGACAAGAATCACCCGAGGCCTTTGCAGTTGTTAATGAACATGACAAAAAAGTGCGCGATGGACAACTTACCCCATGCGCTTGAAGAGCTGCATGACAACCTCTAGCGGTAGATGTGGAGAGACTGAAAGAGGCGTCTGTGTCGCTCATGATCAGAAGACGGCGATATTACTTGGTATATGCGCAGTACCTGGTTTACCCAAGGCCAAAGCTTCAACACTTCGTGCGTCGCAGTTGTCTCTATGAGCTCCGTAGAGATATCCTCGTCCATACCCACTCCGGCGCCGGCGACGATATCAGAGAATATCACTTCCTCGTGGTCCTCATTCGCAGATGCGAAAGAGCACGGTGTGTCTGGTGCAATGCCCTGTATCTTCCTTGTTTTATCTGTGTAAAGGAGTTAGTAATACCGGACGTCGGCACAGGAGCAGCGTACCTAGCACATATCGCAGCTCGGCTCTATCAATATAGCCTGAGAGAATGTTACGACCATCATTCGTGACGACGGGATATCCTTGTACGGCCGTTGAGCTGAGTGTCTCCTCTATATATAAATATTAGCTCCGTGTGATACAAGTTGCTATACGTTTTACGAACCTATTTCGCGGACTGTAAGCCCTGTCACAGGTAGAGTGTGAAGGCCAGTGCGCATCACTCGGGACACTAAACGAAGCTTCAATCATGTTTATCCGCAAGTAAAAATCTACTCACCAGGCATGTTATACGCGTGATCATCTTTATCCAGGAAGGGGTATCCGTTGAATCGTATTGCCTCATCAGCAATGCCTGTGGTCCCGAGGAAGTCGCCGACAGCCTTTGTGACAAGCAAAACAATCTAAGGACGGTTTAGCGCTACGCGGACAGGAGAGCCAACGACGACACTGACCATAGTCGGGAGGATATATGTTAAAGCTCCAGTGAGTTCGAACATAATAACAACTACAGTCACGGTGATTCTCATCACACCACTAAAGCACAGTAAGGATTGGAACTATGTCGTCCAAGCGCGGAATACGCACCTCAGCGCTGCAGCCGCCCCCAAGAATGCGTATGTGCCGGGAGTAATACATGGGACATCAGGCTGACAAACGGCAAATATTCCTGATTCCTTGTTCGCGCTGCAGTAGTTTTGAGTAGGTACGAGCTCGAGCAGGTGGAGACAGCACGTACTTCCACAAGGCCTTCACGATTATACCAATCATACGGCCAAAGGTTGCACCAACCGCCATCGAGGGGACGAAGATACCACAAGGGACTTTAGAGCCATACGAGATCACGACTAGAGCTACACGAATGATGGTCGCGAGAAACAATGAACTAGCAACGGACCACTGGACAGACGTCCTTCATGAGCCATCAGCAAGGGAGTTCACATGCACACTGAGTCAAACTCACTGGCACAGATGGTCGTAGTCACCTCCACCTTCGCATTCGCGGAAAAGTATGGACATGCCTTCAGTCATGTCGATTCTGAGAAATCTGTTCCAATATGCAATAACACCAGTGAGCGTCGCAAGCGTCGCCGCTTCTACCACTGGATAGTTGACAAGGTGCTTTTTACGAAAAGCGGCCCATTGCATGTTGAATTTGACCATAAAGGCGCCATATAGTCCCTGCGTGGATGCATGATCAGCGTAGACGCGGAAAAAAAATGGAAATGTGCGAACCCCAAAGATACCCAAGATGACAAAGAAGATGATCTCGAAAAAGTGCCAATCGCGGTCGTACGTGACTTGGAACAAGACAAGCTTGCCGCTACGGTACGGGTTCATAGCCTGAGAGGGTGCAGCTCAGATAGTAATCTAGAAGTTGAAGGACACTGCACCTACGGCCAACGTGATAGTGGCGACCAAAGCACAGACGAAACTCCGCCACATCGTCTTGATGCTAAAATTGCTAGTCATTTCCTATTACTCGATCTTCAGCCAATGGAGCTCAAACTGAAAGGCGCAATCTTACCTCGATAGAAAATAGCACGCCTCCAATTGGCGAACCAAATGCTACGGCAACACCAGCCGCACTGGCCGCGGTAAGGATTTCTCTCATCTTTCCTGTTCAATATGATTCAGGAGACATTGACCTGGCGAGGGTTGTTCAGTTACCCACCATGGCTTTTCGAAAAGCGAGTAAACAGACCAGCTACAACGCTGCCTACGCAGCACGCCAGGTGCACTGAGGGACCTTCCTTTCCGACTGACAGCCCAGATGCGATGACTAAAGGCTAAGTCCGGTAAGTCGTGACTGCGTCGATGATATCAGAGGAGACCCACCAGAGTCAAGCTCTTGATAACGAGGGTCGAGAAGCTAAGGAATCCCTTCATGACGAATCCCGCCAGGATACATTTGATTTCTGAGATACCTGAGCCCGCAGCGTACTTCGCAATGTTCTTGACCAGGTGGGCAGCGGTGGAAGAAAAGATAGCCTTGAAAATACTGTAAGCCGAAAGATTCTAATAGAATAACCCTGAGGCGTACCGCGAACACGACATATATGATCCATTGTGTAAGAACGGTATCACCCCAAAGATGCCAAGATTCGCAGCCGCTCTCGTCCTCATACTCAATTTCCCAACAGCAGAATTGTTGGTTCAGCCACCAGCCGTCATAGCAGTAGCCGTTCTTGAGGTCTGAGAGCCATTCCGTGATAATGGAAACAAGTGCGGCGATTGCGCCAATGCATGCTCCTGTACGCCGCGAACAGAGACAGTTGAGTGCACACAGTTTCGTGAAAGTGCTCATACGACGCACCGACTAAACTGACGACGAGCCAGCTCTGTCCAGCATCCCATATCCTCTTGAGTTGGACCCATGCCCACTGCAAAGAGACTTTGCTTCGTGGTCCGCGGCGGACGGTGTGAAGCTCCCTCGCCTTTCGGATACGCCTGTTTCGCTCGATTATGGAATCTTGTATCCAATCTGCGGGGGTATTCAGGGTGATGTTTGTACGTCACCATGTGCTTCTGACATACCAATAGTGGTGAAATCCTCGTAACGCCTAGTGTTGCGTGAGACACGGCAGCTAAAGAGCGGGAGAGGGCGATGCTAACCTAATAAGTTCAAAGTCCTCATCTCCTTCGCCTTGCATATTCTGCGGGTGTCTAGTCGAGGTCATGAACGCATCTGGGGAGACAATGAGGGCGGGAAGCAACTTCGTTCGCGCGTAATGAGCGCAGTTTACAAGCGCGTACTAGTAGGGCAGACGCGTCTACTGCTCTGTGTCACTCCAAAATGAATGTTGTATCTCCAACATAAGCACACAAAAGCCATATGGGTATTGAAATGAAATCGTTGCATGACAGCACGAAAGGATCACCGGGTGTCATAGAACGTGCAAAAGTAGTGATTTAAGCATAGCTATGACAGCGTTGTATTAAGGATGTCTTGGTGGGCAGGGCATGCGAGATCTCTAGATACACAGGTGAATGCTCAGGTATATTGGCTGTTCCAGATGACTGCGTTTCTCTACGGCATGATGGCACTGAGAGTGATGTTGCCAATAGGAGTGGAGGCAAGACCCGTAGACGCTTCCCTGAACTCGTTGGCGTTGCTGACCATGAGTAGACCCACTACAGCGAACTGTCATTGACGACTGAGATAGAGGGTATCGACAACGCTTACCAATGAGACCAAATAGCCCGAGGATACTGCCGAAGACCTCCACAATAAGTATCTTAACGAACAGATTAGGGTCGGCTGCGTCGGCTAAAGCAGCAGTCGAACCCGTGATTCCTACACAAATACCGCAAAGTAGGTTACATGCCCCTACTGTCAGGCCTCCCCAAAACAGTGCGAAGCCTACGAAGATGAGTGAGACATGAGATATTCCGACACATTGAAGCCACGCACCGGTGAAATAGTTCTCTCGTGTGTAGAGCTGCAGGTCAGGGATGTTGGTGATCTTAGCGGAGTACACAATACCAATGATCTATGCACTATGGTGAGCACGTCTATTATGAAATATACGCGTAGGGTACGCACGACACCATAGATAGCCACAACTTCACAGAAAATAATACTTAGAATAGCCCGTCAGCCTGGCAGAAGCCCAGAGCATCGTTTGAATAACGAACCTGATCAAGTTCTTGGTCCTGATGCGTGGTGCACGAACACCGCCTCCGAGAATGGACGAGCCAGTAACGAAGATTCCCCTTCAGTGGTGGTCAGTTTAGGGTTAACCGCCAACTTGAGACGTAAGACGTGCCATCCCGCGCCAAGCACGCTCAATCCAATACACAGTCCAACTCCCAGTGATGCCCACACAAATGGGCTTGTCTCTTCAAGGAACCGGCCTACGTTGAACGCTTCACCCGAATCTGTACGTCACGCGTGAGTATGCGTCCCCCTGGACACAACAACTCGACGTACCAGTGAAAAGCAGGTACAGTGCAATCACCACTATGAGGAAAGAGGGCAAGCCATATGTATAGTACGAATAGAGGCCCATGTTGTAGGGTCAATGTAGATGGCTGTCTGCGGTGAGCTTGCGGATCGGCGGAGATGTACCTAAGCGCCTTCGACGTTCAACCCTAACCCTACGTGATGACGGCGGCAGTCACCAAGTCGCGGGTTCGTTCGTCCCATGTATCATCTACTCAAGGGTCTTCACGAATATCTGACCAGGTAGGACTCAGCGTAATTCGATGCTGAATTATACTAACGTACATAGGAAGGAAGAATTCTCAGTGATCATCCTGGGTCTTGATGGAGCCGGGAAGACGGTACGTACGCTGTGCCTTACATGCTGGCATGCAGCTCAGTCCTATTCAAAGACACTTCTCGAGAGGATTAAAACTCTTTACAATGATACTCCAGGTCTCACGCCGGACAAGATAGGACCTACCGTTGGGCAGAACAGTACGTGTTGCAGGAGAAGCCGGTGGTACATAATTAGCTCACCTTCTACTCAGTGGGCAAGATTACGCTCCCATCCACTATTCTCAAGTTCTGGGATTTGGGAGGTCAGCGCGGCATTCGATCTATCTGGCATCGCTACTATGATGACTGCCATGCTGTGGTCTATGTTATCGACGCCTCGGACCGTGAACGCCTGAGCGAAGGTTGGGAGGTCTTCGGTGAGTCCAGTTTCTCCCTGACACCTTACTTCAGCTTAACATTGGTAAGCAACTTAAGAAAACATGTTGTCTGCACCACAGATTCTTGGTGTACCGCTGCTCCTCCTTGCGAACAAGCAAGATAGCGCCGAAGCGCTGTCCGTAGAGGAGATTCGGAATGACTATGAAGACTGGTACAGGCACAAGCTCGAAAATGCACGGAGGATCTATGTTTCTGAAGATGAGAGCGGACTCCGTCGAGAGCGCATTGCCAGTCTGGATGTCATGGGCATCTCTGCTCTTGAAGGGTATGGGCCTGGAAAGGGGTGTGTGTATCAAATGCGGCCTCGGTGCTGTGGGCGCTGAAGCTTCATGTCCTCACTGGTTCTGCAGTCTGAAACTGTACTTGCAAGATTGCGCCTCCATCAATGGCGCTGACATCTTCCAACAGATGCGCATGACCCTCCAGTTCTACCGAGGTCGGTGCCGCTCGTACGCAATCCTCCATGCACATGCCTCATGCACCATTTCCAGCCCGGTGGCACCACAAGACCCATTGTCAGGAGTTAACTCGGCCTACGCACAACGGATTTAACTCGAAGGACGCCTTCCACCTCGAGACGCCTGGCGGTGCCAAGGTCCTCAACCTCGAGCACGTCCTCGGCACAGTCGAGGTCCGCAAGCGGGCTGACATCGTCACCTTTGACGTGCTCCCCGCGAGCCTCGCCAGCCAATGACCCCTTCCAGGATGCTGTCTTCCATGTGTCGAATACCGACGTCGAGATACCGACGTCGAGATTGCGTTTTTCAACGGCGAGATTGCCAAGCGCAGCAGCCGGCTAACGAAGGTGTCCGTTTCCGTGAGCGAGATCCGGGCAGTGATTCCAGAGGACAAGCTCGGGAAAATGTGGACTGAATTTTATGAAACATATGGCAGCCCGTTCAAACCGCTAGGCATGAGCTATTAGATATTCGATGCACTGGAAGTATCATGTACTATAGTCGAGCGAGGTCCCAGACTTTGCGTGAGGCTTTGGTGGGTGGAGTTATCGGCATCTGCGGCCACAGGGCAATGTCAAGCTGGCGGACTGTCCAAAAAGGTCCGAGCCGCTCAGCGGGCGGGATGTCATCCGTATTAAGCGTGGGGTGGCCGCGGCAGTCCCAGCTACGCTTCACTCTCCCGCACCCTGGTCTTCCCTGGTCAAAGCCAACACCTGATGAGATGATGACAATGGGGGACAGCGAACTGACTTGCCTGCGTCTACTGTTCTGCACACGGATAAATAGCCAGTCAACCGCGGCTCTAACACCTGTCCTACATGAGTATATTTTTAGTGAAATATTACTTCTCTAGATAGGCCATCAGAGGCAATGGGATTGCTGTAAGTCATGCTCATCTCATCTACAGGTGTGGACAAGATGACAGTGCTGGTCTTTTCCAGTGTGGCTCATATGTCGTCGTTGGGACCTGGATGGTCGCCTAGATTATTGCAATGGGAGAGGATGACTTCAGAGCCCAGTGGATTGCGGCTACAGTAAGTAAGAACGCGAGTGCTTGATGCGGACCAATAGCGAACGAACGTCGCTTGAAGGTGTTGGGCCGACTAGATTCCCATAACGTGGGCTGTTACGGCAGAAACTGGGGTAGTAGCTCGCACCAGCCTAATGAGCTCTTGGTGAACCTTCTCGTCAACACTATCCCCAAGTCGTGCCTGGCAGCACAATGGTAAGCAAGAGATCCAGCCCCAGACGACACGCGCACCAGACAGTTTGGCGTTGAGCTGCTCACATGATGGTCATCCATGCGTACCCGCACACTCAGCATTGTCTGCGCCCGCACCGGAGCAGAAGCGAGGAGAACTCGCCGAAAGGGTCAGCATCTAGCCGGCTGTCTACAGCCTCTCCAAGTACCAGCCCGCTCAACGGCACGTTCTACGTTGGGAGCGTCGTGGCGAGCGGCGGTGACTTCAAGAATCATGAGACCACGACGGCCATGACGGCCACGGCGACCACGACGACCATGCGGGCGCGTCGCCTTGTCGAGTCACGCGAGGAATATAGCGCACATTGGGCACCAGGCTCATTAGAACGCCCGGATGGCAAGTACAAGGCGCGCGGTGCCATCTGGGCTGCCTCCTGCCAGCCCCCACCGCCACCCCCGCCGATCTTGTCGAGAACGAGCGGAGGGATCAACTCGGCACCGTCGTTGCAGAGCATATCGACGAGCGCATCTTGTGTGAGCATTAGCTCGAAGCTAGCGAGGCTCGTCGTTTGACTGAGGGCGTGGAGTTCGCTGAGAGTACATTGACCGCAATTGATCCAAAGGGAACTCGCGAAGACCAAAAAAAAGCTGATTTATGCACCTTTGACATGGGGCTCCGTGTCGTCAATAGTTGGGCAGGATAAGCTACTGCAAAGTCAGAGATGTTAATTTATTAGTGGTCGTATTCACGTACTCGGGACTTTGAGCGCACCAATACCTATCTCTTCATTATTTCCCTCTCATAGAGCCTGACACATAGCACTGCATGCGTAAGACAGGGCTCCATACACCTCAACGCCATCTCACGACTGCGGCCAGACTGAGGACCGCACAGTGCGGCAAGTTCATCCAGCTCCGCGCTGGCTGGGGTCCCGGCCTGATCAAACAGGGCGCGCGTCGGGCCCCGGGCAGTCCTCGAACCGTAAATTGAGCGCTTCTCGACAATGAATCTAGGCTGCCGTTCAGCATCTCCATAAACATCTCACTCGTCTTTGCTTTGTTTGTAATACGCAAACCTGTATAAGCAGCTATGGATTTGCAAGCGACGCTCGATAGCGCACTCGCTGAAGCACAAGAAGAATGGGAGGAAGGGGACGAGGAGTATGACGAGGATGAATACGATGCTGAAGCCGAAGAAATTGCTAAAAGGCTAGGTGACCAGCTTCGGGCCGACATCGCAAGGGCACAAGCAGAAGCCAGTGCGGCTCAGGCTGCTGTATCCACCAGCACTGTGCCTCGTGCTACAACGGCACCTCCGTCCCCGGCTTGCGCAGAAGCTCCCTCTGAATCTCAGGACTTTGTGCTAGGTCCTTCTCCTCCGCCACAGGTCAAGAAACAGGAGGCTGCGTTGGTCACCGTACGAACAATTCTTTCGTTCGCTTACAAGGACCCTGTGGTTCGCGCATCACTCGCTGCCCAGGTTGTCTCGTTTTCAAGCGAAAACACGAGTGTCCTGGACGTCCTCACGCGCTGCGCCACCTCCGGCACCATTGCGAAGGAGCTCGCCAGACCGCTCAGCGATGCCGTGGTCGCGCTCGCAAAGTCCGAGGTGCTCTTCTCTTCAATGCGAAATTCAGATGCTGCCGCCATCCAGCTCGACAAGGGCAAACGGAAGCGCGATCAGATGGAAGAAGACACCGGGGACGATCGTTTTGCCAAACGAGCAGCCATTGAATACCCCAATATCCTCGCGCAGATCTCGCAGGCAGTACGGACGATCTCTGCCGCTTTCTCGTCGCATATGCAGACAAACGGTCCGCCAGAACCTCAGCTCATTGCACTAATACAATACCCTCTACACCAGGTCTACCTGTTTGCTGTTACGTCGGTGCCGCGAGCACGTCAGGAGCAAATACACTTGCTCCAGGAGCTGGGGGCGTTGATTCAGATGCTTGGCGTTCTTAGCAAGGTGCCAATTGGCCCCGCACCAACACCATGGGGAGCTCCTGCTCCCGCGGCGCCTCCAGACATCGGCACTGCCGTCTATCCATGTCTCGTACCCGGCTGCACGAAGACGTTCTATCGCCTGTACTCCCTACGGACACACCAACGCCTGCACGCTCTCGTCGACCGCCCGTACCGCTGTCCGGTGTGCCCGGCATCATTCCAGCGGAACCACGACCTCAAGCGGCACACGAAGCTGCACGACAACACGGCGTGGAAATGCTGCGGGTGCGGCAAGATCTTCTCGCGGCGGGACGCGATCAAGCGGCACAAGGACAGTCGCGGGCGCGGCGGCAAGGGACACGTCGACCTCGCATGCGCAACGGCCGAGATCGAAGAAGTCGAGGTCGACAAGGAGGAGGGCGAGGAGGACGCGACGCGCCGCGCCAAGCTCTGGAACGGCATCGTCGCGAACCAGCTGGCCACCGCGGCGAGTGTCCTCCCGCCTGGCCACCTCGAGCTGCACAGCGAGCCCGGTCCGGGCGTCGAGGACGACAAGACCGAGGAGGGCGAGGTCCCGCCGCACATCGTCGAGCACGCGCAGGTCGTGGCGCTGCAGCTGTACCCGGTCATCAAGAGCCGCGTCGCTCCTGCCGTCCCCTCCTCTGCGTTCCCGCCCGCGCCGAGTGCTGGCCCACATCCGACGCTCGCAAGTGTCATGGCGAGGTCGCTCCCGCCGTACCAGCCGCCTGCACCGCCGCCTGCGTCGGACGCCCTGACGAGCGCGGCGAGCGAGCCTGCGCCTGCGGCGGAACAGCCGGACCCCGCCGCGTCGATCTCGCTGCCCTGGCTGTCAGAAGAGCAGACGAAGCTGCTGGAGGAGGCGATCGCGCAGGCGGCGGCGGCTGCCCAGGCTCAGGCCGAGGCCGAGGCGGCGCTCGAAGAGGAGGGAGAGGACGAGGACGAGGAAGGGGACGGGGACGAGGTGGGCACCACTTAGCCTGTGTCTTGGACGGTTTCGGGCGTGAATAATCACTCAAGACGCCTGACGGTCACCGCTATCGTCACGGGTGACGAACCTTCAAGGGTACTCCAAGAACGGGGCTGTACCGGCGTTCTGTTGTGCCCGTAGTGGATTGTCGTGGGACAGGCTTGGAGATGATGATGTGTACGTTGGTATTAGACGTAAGCCGGCACTTGGCACCCCTCGCGGCCGGCAACGAGATCATGGCGTGCTGGTAGGATGTCTTCGTCGACCACTAAAGCGACAGAAAGTCTAGATCATAGCAGACACATTTGACACAGTGACACTGCCGATGCATGCCGGTGAGGCTAGAGATGCCAGAGTGGACACGAGTCCCAGGAAGACATGGTGATTGAGCTAGAAGAGCTGCTTTTGTCAGCTGTTACAGGGCTCTGCATGGCTCGATCGGTATGTCCCTGCACAATAGCGGCTTTCTGCCGTTAGTGGGCAGAGACATATTGAATGAGCGTGCATCGCTGGACTTTCGCTGAGAAGCTGTAGTGCAAGACTTTGGAAAAATTTTGAGGGCAGCGGGATCGGCTCAGCGACCCTGGGTCATGGAGGTGTGGTTGCACATGGAGTTAAGCACGAAACTCACGGTGCCATCTGACATCCTCCCGTCGTCGCTCATGCCCTGACATCGAAGTCCTGGGCAAAAACCAAGGCTCCAGACTAGTGCCTCTGGACCGTCAGACGACTCACGCCGCTGTCCTCCACTGTCTAACCTAGACATATTAAAGCCTGAAACGAGGGTCAACAGGGAGATCTTGCGGATGAAACAGCGACTACAAACGCGTGAGGGTAGGACCCTTGACGACGGCGACGAAAGTGCGCACGAGGAACGACAGCGAGTAGGGAGGAGAGAGCTCAGCTGCGAGTCGCAGTCGGGAGACAAGTCGGCGAAGGCTGGCAAATTTACACGCAATGACGACGTCACCAGGCTCGTGCTCGCCGTTCAGGGACAATCAAGCTCATCAATCGCCGCCACAATTCGTAGTCTAGACTGATAAGGGCGCTAAAATGTGCGCCATCTGATGCGCACTGTGCCGATCCTGCTTCTGGTCCCGGCGGCAAACGCTCCCCGTCTGACGTGTCGTTTTGTCTCCTGCCTAGTCATCCTCGCTCTCTTCTCCCGGTCCTCTCGGGTTTTAGATGCACAGGTATGTCAGACATACAGCTTGGAAACGATTAATGCCACTGGAACTGGTGCAGGGCGGCGCGCTGGGACGTGGAAGGGTCCAGAAAACCGTGCAGCCAGTGCGCCGTGGGCGTGTGACCCTTGTTATACAGATTGCGGGAGCGATACCGATGAGAGGTTATTGATCATGGGTATCTAGATTTCATTGCACACGGCCAGCTGATGTGCACTGCCAGCACTTGTGCATCGAATGGTAGCCTGCGAGACGCGGGAGGCCGTCGCAGATTGGTGGACAGTTGGTAGCCGCCGTAAAATGAGGTGGAGAGCCGAGTGAGGTTAGTCGTGGCTGTGGTGGGGTTCTAGAGCACCGGCTAGGCCACGGAGGGCCACGCGTGCAGCAGAGGAGCTGCAAAAAGAGGGCAGCGCAGAGCCAGTCATGCCTACGTTCACAGGGGTTAGCACGCGCAAATCGCCCGAGAACATCTGCCCAGACATTGCTCACGGGTGGGACCGAGATTTCTCAATGCCTTAGCATGCCGGCTCTGGAACAAATTGCCTCTTCAAATCCGCCAATCGTGTGTCGGGACCCTCGACGTGCTTGCGTCCATCAGCCGTCTCATTTGCTGGTCGGACGAGCCCTGGTTTTATGTGGCTGACGTTTCCCGCTCGCAGAGCTTTCGTTTTCCTGAACGAGAAGTGTGTGTGCGCACTGTCAGGCTTCTGCTTGTGACAAGGGAGGGCACCCCACTTCCCAGGCCGTGCTGGTAAGACACGACATATGTCCAAGCGCGGCGGCGGACGGCCCTGTCCTCGCGTTCTAGGTGAATTTAGCAAGAAATAGTCCGGATGGACATTTCCCGGCATGCGTACCCATTCATATATATGCCACTGGGGCACTGGAGCGCGTTCCTGACTTCTCTCACACTTCCTTTCCCTGACTAGGCTCTGCGTCCCGTTGGGTTCGCTGATCTTATCATTAAAGGCGGACCGGCAGCCTACTACCAGTTTATTTTATTCCGTTTGCCTTTTAGCTTTCCTCTCGCCCGCCAGGGATCCCCTGCTTCGTATCGCCCATCCTGGCCCTCAGAGTCCTCCCGCCGTCCTCCCTCGAGATTCCTTGCCTTATCTCTGCATTGTAATTGGCCTCCCGCAGTCTGATATTGCCACGCAACGACCTGAATCGTGGCGACGCACTGACAGGGCTTCGCCTGAGATCTCACTCGCGTATCTCGTTTCCAGCGCACCGCTGCAGCAGAGGCCCACATTCTGAATAGACGTTCTAAGACGCTTTTCCATCGTACGAGAGCTGCTGCCATCACGCCCTGGTTCATCTCATCTCCTGCGACATACACCGCTTGCATTCTCACGAGGGACTGACGTCCTGCTACACATCTACGTACGCCCGCAGTCAAAATGTCCCTTTCACCTGAACCACCGTTTGCGGGCTCCTCGTCTGCGTCTGCGCCAGCGCCCGCACAGGCTCATCCCCAGATACCCATCGAAGGATCCTTGCAATCGACGGCGCCTGGTGCACAGCGACCAACACTGACGAATACGCACATACGGAGCGTGGCGGACGCGCAGAAGCTGTTCTATGCGGTGCAACTCGGGATGCTGCCCAAGATCGAGCGGCGGCTGGATGCGGTCGAGCGGAAACGGCTGCGGCCGGGGGACGTGTACGTCTGGGAGGAGCGTGGCGCAACAGGACTGTTTGCGGGGGCGTCTGCGGGCGTCGCGGTCGTTGCGAAGGAAGGCATGGCGGGCCCGGCGGAGGCGGCAGGGTACGAGGTCGGTATCGAGCGGTGGACGGAGGGCCTCAGCTGGAGCGCGAGCCGGATAAGAGAGTGCGTCGTCCATTGCATTTCATCGCCTGCTTCTCCTTGCTTTCCACGCTGGCGCATGTTCTCCCGTGAAACAAGCTTCAAGCTCTACGATTTCATATTCGCCCTCCCCGTCCCTGCGCAGCGTCGCTCCAGACCTTTACGGCACACTCTGAACATCATATCAGTGTTCATATCGGCTACCTCGTCTGTCATCGAGTGGGATTTGTCGCGTGTAACGCTTAATTGAGGCTTTGGTTCCGCTTCGCGTCGTCGATCGTGTCTCGATCATGACCAATTCTTATCAGCGTACTTCATTTCCCCATTTCTCCTTGTCCTGTTTCGCCTGCAATCGAGACCGAGCGATGCTGACCGGTGTCTGCTTTACAGCGAATTCCTCATCTACTTTGAGAATGTCAAGAAGAAAGAGCGCGGAGTCGACCGTGAAGGACATCGTGCAAGGTACGTCATCCATCCTCGACCTGTGCTTTCACCATTCACCCAGGTATACAGAAGCTTGGAAAATCAAGTCTTGCGCGAAGGCGACCGAGACATGTATATCAAGCAGACGTACTCGGTGCTACGCCTCGACGTCAATCAGGAAGAAGGGACACTTGGTGCGAGCACGGCCGCCGTGGAGAGGAGTACATCGAGCGCGAATGCTGCTGACAATGGAGACAAAAAGGACATAAAGAAGAAGCCGAGAAAGTGGCATCTTAGTGAGTGCCTTGCTTCGCGGTGGATCATCGACTGATCACCCTGCGGGATCATCGCAGATGCATATTTCACGAAGTCGACTGAGGGCAATCTCAACACGATCGACACAATCCCTTGGCTAAGGGACCTTGAGGTACCAGAAGGGATCTTCACGTCCGCTCGCCAATCGAAGAAGACCGCCGGTGGCAGTGCTAGCTCCCCGTCATCTTCAGGGCCCGCATCTACGTCCACCTCCCAAGCGAAACAAGAATCGCAAGGTGAAGACGCAAGTAGTCTGGGCAAGCGTTCACGAGCCGCTCCGTCTGTTCAACGAACATATGCCGCATTCCCCACTGGCGAGCGGAGGACGCATCCCAGGCCTGTCGTTCCTGCTCCGCCCCCACCGCCTCCACCACTCCCCCCGGGCGCGGCGATTTCAGGCAGCTCGTTTGGGGCGCAGTCCGCATCGTCACAGCCGCCTGCCCGTTCGATCGTGCAAGTTTCAGAAGAGATCCAAGGTGCGCCTTCGAATGCACCGGGGTCAGTGCCGGGCGCGATGCACATCCTGGTGCCCGAGCCGAACGGCAGCGCGGTGCAGACGGTGCCGCTCGAGCCCATCGACACTGGAGTAGCGCGCATGGCGCCAGGAGGCGCGGCGAGTCCGGCGAGCGCAGGTGGTGTCCATGTGAACACTGTCGGCCTGTACAGGATGCACATCGGCGAGAGCGGTGCGAGCGAGCGCATGCGAACGGACATGTCGGAGCACCCGCGGCCCGACGCGTTCGGCGACCCGTCGGCCTTCGGCGGTACCGGCGCGTTCGGTGACGTCGGGAATGCCGGTCGACCGTTTGGGCAAGGCGGCCTCCCATCCCAGTTTGGAAGGGGCGCGTTCGAATTCGGCCAGCAGCAGCAGCTGAGGGAGCTGCAAAGGTTCCAGGAGAGACAGCACGCGCAGCAGCGGGAACAGCAGCAGTTCTACGGCGCGGGCGGGTTCGACTTCGACGCCGGGCAGCCATTCCACCCCCACACCTCGATGCAGGCGCATGCGCCCACGCAGACACGCTCACAGCACCACCTCCCGGCTCATACATCTCCCCATTCGCACTCCTCGCCGCATGCGTACTCTCCGATGCAGCGCACACTGCAAGGGTCACACGCACAGCACCCGCACTCGCCCATACACACACTCTCGCCCGCGCTCTCCGACTTTCGCGCCGGCAGCGAGTACAGCCACAGCAGCTCGAGCAGCTCCTCGCGCGGCGGGAGCGTCTCGTCGGGGTCCGGCTCCGTGCGCATGCTCGCTGGCGCAGGCGGTGCATGGTCCCCACAGTCAGGCGTCGATTTTGGAGGTTACCACATCAAAAGCGAATACAGCGAGCTTGGGATGGCGTTCGGTCAGGTACAGGGGGCGGGGCAAGGAGCGGAAGCGATGTTCGGTGCGGGGGCGGGCGACGGAGAGGACGAAGACGAAGACCTCAGTGGGTACCTCCCGATGCCTCCTCTCCCCGTCGCCCTCACCGAGCCCGCCGAAGCCAGTGCAGGCCGCAGACGCGCCACTAGCCGACGCGCTGCTTCTGACACCCCGCGCGGAGGACATAGCGGAGAGCGGAGAGTGGATGTGGCGGACATGAGCGAGCTGGGGATCCAGCCGCATGAGGGCGTTGAGGACGTTGAGGGTACTGGAGACTACTACGGGCTCGGAGGTGCACATCTGCACTTGATGGCGAATGGCTCGAGCAACGGTACGTTTGCGTCTGCTGATCATACAAGAAATGACTGAATTAAGTGGATATATGCGTGTTTCTCTCGCCCCCAGGTGTGCCAGGCTCGTCGAGCAGTCTCATTGACGCGCTCTTGACGTCCGCGTCGTCGCATCCTATGGCCATGTCTCCGCCCCCACGAACCATTTCAAATGATGCACTCTCGCCGACGATGGCTCTGCCCTCTGTGCCATCCGTACCCCCGCAGCCTATCACCATGCCCAGTGCCCCGCTTGTGCCCGACTCGATGTCTGTGTCGCTGCCCAACCTAGACTCGATACTCGATGCCAATCCCGGAGAGGGCTTGGGCAAGTACCGCCGTGCGCTTGCGCCGCTGCACCAGCTGCAGCGCGCACACCCGTATCGGTACCGCAGCCGGATCGATGACCGTGCGCTGCGGCTGCTCGGGCCTGCGCCCGCGCCTGGTGCGAAAGATCTCCCCAGGGGACTACAGCGGGAGCTGCTCTCGGACGAAAAACACCATCCTTCTATCCTTCACTGAGCAGTCGATGCTCGCTGCATACTCCTCCTCCACGGACATAATACTGCTAATCTTTGAGATAAAACACAAGGCATTTATCAATATTTACGTTTGCTTTGCATTCCCGTCTACATATGTGTCTCATGTGTTTGGTTCACTTTCGTACTCGTCATGTAGCATTAGTCGACTTTATTCACGGACGTTTCAGCGGTCCCTTGCGGCGTGGAAGACTTGGCTTGTATGGACTTGTGGCTTGGTGTGTGTGTGGTACGGTCTCACACAGAGTACATCATGCGTATTTGCCCTTTGCTTCCTTTCTGTGTATCAGTGCTGACGTCAAGCAGGTGTTCTTGTATGTTATTCAGTTATCGGTCAGTGACTCAGCCGTTTCTGCAAGTCCAGACCCTACTCCGACAGTCCGCTGCTTAAGCTCCAGGGTGCGTCCTGCGTGTACAGTCATCGCCTCTGTTCACCCGAGTCTCGTCCAGTGATTCGTTACCACAAAAGTCCCCGAGTTGGGCGTGAGTGCAATACCCACGAGCTATGAGAGGCACCCATGATGCAGAGTTTTCTGACATGTGTTCTACTGTCTTCCTCTTCCGTCAGGATGATTCCTGCCTGCAGGATTTGTGGGGCTCGCTGCCAGTTCACTCTCTGGGAGCCCCGATTGAGTTCTGAAACTCGGTCGGCTCACAAGCTCGGACACTGAAGGGTTCATGCTTCTCGCGCTATGACGCCCGCCGCCGAAGACAGGCGAGAAACAGCATCCTCTTCGCGCCGCTCTTTTTCTGGGTCCAGGCTGTCAACCTAACCCTCGCACTCACCGCCGTATCACAATTAGTCATCCGCCCGCTCCCTGCATCTCCGAAGCACGCTCGCTTTGACTTCGGTAGCTTCGTCATCACAGCAAGCGAGATCCACCATCGCGCACTTCACACACGCGTATCTCGCGGCTTTTCCGGGGCTCGCAGGCGTGCCGATCCCCTAGCACCGTCGCTACACAGGTCCGACGTCGCACTCGCAGCTCGTCAATGCGCCCGGCGGAGCCTGGGCTCGTCCGTGCGGCAAGGGTCCTCGGCACCAGCCTCGTTCACGGCCGCCACAAAGCCGCGTCCCGATGCGGAAGGCCAGACACGGCGGCCCAACGCACTAGCCGACGTCGCCGGGGCTGCCTCGGGGGAGTGTTCTGTCGCTCGCGCTGCGGAGGGCACGAGCGGGGGGCGTTGCGGGACGGAGCCGAACTGCGTCGCCCGCGCGTGCGCGCAAACCAGGCACGCGCGGCGCAATGATACCCTCTCTCGTCGAATTCTTCTCGCGCTCGTCGCAGACACGCGCATCACTCCCCCGAGGGACCTTCTAGAGTCCCGTGGAAGGTGGGGCTCCGATATGGTTTTGAGAGCTTGTCCACTTCCTTCTGCTCTTTGTACAGCAGATGCCCAAGGGCCCGTGGGAGTGTGCGTGCAGGAGGTGGCTTCTCAGCGGCCCTGCCGGCCCACCGCGTTGGCTCGGAAGGGTCTTACGACGCGTGTGGAGGTCCATGGCGCGTCATACTGACGATGGGGGTGCGTCCAAGTCGTTCTCTCGTCTGCGTGTCGGCTGGCGTTCAGACGAATTTGTATTTCGGGCAGGCCGGGAGGTGCGCGCATTTTGCCCCCCAAACTTGTGCCGAGCCGTGATGCATCTGGCTAACTAACTGCCAGATACCCACGTCGGTTCGTCGCCTTTCAGGAACGTTGGAGCGCAGGTGCACGTTGGCCCAGGGTCATGCTCCTGCCATCCTAACGTACTATTCATTGGAGCCGAGCTGGTGGCCGAGTGTATGTGTTGACAAGTGGGGCTTTAGTTCAGCCGGAAGACACATTCCTAAAGGCTTACCGTTTCAGAAGAGTTACTGTAGATTCTTCTTCCGTCGCCAGCGGCTGCCTTTCTGGTTAGGTTCCGTCTGTGTGCAGATTATCTCGTTCTTATCAGCCCTGATTCTACGATTAGGTTTCGGTGCCTAGTGCTTTGTATTTTTTTTGTAAACTGTGGATTTTTGGAGCCCAGGGATTTCTTCTGGTAAACAGGCTAAGCCCGTCAACCCCGAGACAGCGGTTCAGCCTGTTCACCCCGAGACAATGGTTCAGCCGTTCAATGTCCTGCGGCATCTAGATGCCGTAGAATTGCGCTGTCAAGGACGTAGAAATAATTAAGTCATTTTATGCATTACAAATGCTCGAAATGCTGCGTTAATAGCTCTTCCCCGCTCGGTTGTATTACTGGAATGGGTCACCATGAGGAGGGGTGCCCGAGCCCGGAATTGAGAGGTACGAGGACGGCTGTCGCTATATGCGGCTTTATGAGAAGTTCTATGCGGGCGAGCCCTCCGACGAGACCCACTTTGATAAAATATTTTTAGATTGTCAACAATTTTACCCTCGTCGCTTCTCGGAAATGAATGCTTCTGGCCCTGCCGCCTAACTGGGGGCAACCGCAGTATTCCAAGCTGGTGGTATCGCGCGAGAAGTATGCATAGCTTAAAAACTTACAGTTAATCAAATAAGGGGAAACCAGCTCACATGTCAGCCGTTTATTGAGTTACGCGAGACCGATATGGCGAGTGTTATCGAATACAGGGAAATGGCACGGAGCTTTTGGTTTTGCCTCTCTTACCGCATCTTCAGCCTAATCTCTGAGTGATATTACTCACAATATTTGAATTGCTACTAATTTTCATTTTCTATACTAAGATTGTAAATTTACATTGCATTATATTGAACGACAGTTTTGTTCTGGGGCGACGTAGTCATTCTTGGATACCTACCCAATGCGGAAGTGCGCCACGAAGACGGCAGCTGGCATTAGGCGCCCAATGGGCGCTGTGTTTCTTCCATGTCGTCAGTTCCTAAAATGGCCAATCTCCACGCAATATATCTTGAAAATTGGGCAAAAATATGCAACTGCGGCCGCAAGAGGCTGCTTTGACAAGGGCTACGAGAGTTTATTGGTTTGGTGAATGTGATATACCAGTACTGGTGCGTCGTTAATGACATCGCTCATTTGAGTACGCATATTCTGACAGCCAACATTATTTCTATAGTTCAGGATTTGTAAATCCACAGATAACTTCTAATGCAACAATATTACACGCGATACCTCCCAATTCGTTTCTCTTGGAAATACCCGGTGAATCCATGGCCTCTAGTCTCGACATTAGAAGAAAGCCTCCTGCTGTATGGTTTCTTGGATGCCGACATTTATTGATATGATCTGCGCAATTATTATTCCAGATGACACACCTTTCTACACTTCACCGTGCGTCTTGAGTGCCCTCATTCGTCTTTTTTTTCAATGCATGGCATCCAGGGAAGACGCTGGCCGGTGCACGATTGTATGCATCGGCCTGCGACTGTTCACTACGAAAACAACACCCCGGTCTCGTATGCGCAATCAGAAGGTTGTTCTTTCGGATCTTTGCGTAGACATGTGGATATCCCGCTGCTGACGGTTAGGTCGAAGATTTCGCATCACAGCTTGATCTAATGCAGGGCGGTCCGTCTTCCAAGCTGCATTCTCTATCGCAATCCCGGGCGGGGATACGGTAAGGAATGGTACCACTCCTTAGACTGACAGTGTCGTGTCCTAGATCCGATGCCCCGTGGACAGCTATCTTGCTCCTTGTGGCGACAGCGAACGCTTGCATGACAGGTCAGGCTCGGCACCAGTCTCTCACAACGCAGGGTTTTGCTACGAAGGGGTTTTTGCGTAATGCCTGCGTAATTGGTACGTTTGTGTTAACCCAGGGGCTGCCATTGCTAAGCTGGCACTCGTCCCTGGCCAGTATAGGAGGTATTGTATTGCCACGCAATACATTGTGAGTTGTGTCAAACTGCGGAGCTGTTGAACGCCTGCACGACGGTGCTATACCACATCCAGTACATATGCCTCTCCAAACGCCGCACTGCAGCGGCCCGCGTTGACACCCGACGCGGCAGATGGGTTTACTCGATATGTATGGCATGCCGGTAACAGCGCTTCTCTTTTATTTGTGGGATCCCAATGTGCCAAGCACTCCATCGAGATTGTGTGAGGCATCGGCCTTATTAAATCTGCGAAGTGACCAGTCACAGTAGTCGCATCTATCGACACGTTTGTCTGTTTGCAGGTTTCGGCTCGGGAACATTACCAGAACGGTGACAGAGTTCCAGCGCCGGAGTCTGGACAGAACTCAAACCTTAGTATGCTGAAGTCGCTTATCGGAAAGGGACCCGATTGCGCCCGGCTCCTCATTGCACTCCACAGCCAAGAGAAACGCGGAGTGCCGTCTGGAAAAGGCAGCCGCAATGCCATTCTGCGTGCACAACGCTGCGGGTGTATGTTTAAGAATGCCTGACAGGGTGCGTGGTCGCTGACCTCATCGAGCCCGGCCCTATGAGTAATCTATTATGTGCGTGCGTCGATGCCGACGTGTTTTCCAGTTCCGCATCTCGAACTGGCACGATAGTCATCAGACATTGGGTTGGGTCTACCCCACAGCGTTAACCGACCCTGAAGCTTTATCTGACAGTTGGAAACCGAAGACCGGTTCCGGATCGCGCGCTGGCGGCCTTCCCGGGTGCCTCGATGCCGCAGGCTTCTCGGTGGTAGTATTGGGCAACTCTCGCGCGATGAAATTCTTCGCCGGCCTCCAGACCGCGATGGCGTTCATTGTTCTCTATTCGGACGCAGCACGTTCATGCCCGATTTCTACGTATCACACGTGTGCAATTGCCGCGCATAATTCTTCACGAGCTTGGATCTGCGCCCAACCAACCGAGGCACGGGAACCGATAGAAGCGATGGTCGTTTGCCACAGAGCAGTACGACTGCAGCAACCGATAACGTAAGGCGCGCACTCGGTTGCCAGGCGGGGATATTCTGCCGTAGGGTCTCTTATCGAGGCTATTACCAATTACATACTTCACAGGATCTTCTGGGGGCACTCTCAATGCGCCACATCTCCTCGAGGCTTTCACATCCGCTTCCCGATGGCATTGCGATTGCTTGGCCAATAAAAAACAGCCTTGCTACAACAGATCCAATGATCACAACCAAGCAGGTTCGCATTGAATATTGAAGCTTTGAAAGTCCGACATGAATCTCAAACTTGGATCGTCTTCATTTGACCGTATCGCCAAGCGAGATGACATGGCACGTATAGGTACACAGCGTGCACGCGATATTAGGACGACATACACAATGCCAAGGTGAACCCACACTCACCGAGATATCAATCCGAAACTTAATGTGAGCTAGACTTGGTGTCGGTCGAGCTCCAGTTTCATTAATTGTAAGCTCGCTTCTAGGTAAGCCGCGTGTCTCGCAGGAAAGCGAGCGAGAGAATTACGTACACACTTAGAGCTAACTTTTAGCGAATAGACTCGTCGATCGTGTTAAACGTGTTGGAGTTTTCACGCACAGCTCGGACAATGAACTCGCAGGGTCGTGCGCGGAATAACCCGGTATTAAAGGCCCTGAGAAGCCCTCGGACGCGTTTACATCACGCGGAAGTACGGTGGTATAACTCAATGAACCTTAGAGGTGTGTGGTATACGTCCTGATGCGTCTGAGTTGGCGGCAGGTGGCGTCGTGTTCCCGCCAGACCCCGCCACTCCGACTCCGCCCCGGTCACGAGCGGACAGTTTTTTACACACAAGGCACGCCCGCCCACTTAACTGCATATGGTCCCAGGCAGCACGCGTAAAGTAGTAATACATTAACCAGCTCCGTCCGCTCGCTTAGGTGCAGACTTCTACCTGCCAGGCAGAAGGAGGACACCCCGCCGGGCGGTGTGCGCTCTGTCATCTTGCGTGTCACCCCAAAGTGCATTTTCTGCTCGATAAGCCATCACAATGTCCCCTCTCTGACCATGTCTCCTTTTAGTCAACGCCGCTCGCCCATCGCAAGGGACAGTTGCGCCAAACATGCCACGGGTGCAAAGTCCAGGCGCACCCTCACCGTGGAGTTTTCCGAAGTCGCCCTGTCACAGCGCGATAGGGCCCCGGGCTTTCGTGAGCAACTCAGCGTAATGTCGGCGCGGTTGCAGCAGACGCGCTCTTCTGCATTGATCCTTTGTTGTCGTACTAAGATTAGGACAGGGAAACCGGAGAAGGCAGAGGGCAGATCCTGTCAGAGCCGCCAACGATCTGCCAAAACGTGGAAGGAGCACAATCTGCAGGCTCAGTAATTACGACTTTTCCCCCAGCGTCGCTAGAGTGGGTCGTGCGCATCCACCCGAAGAGGTAGACGACTCCGCCGTCTCTTCGACGCTTGAGCTTGACAGATAGCACACTAACTAGACAGAGGGACACCGCCGCAATGCGCAGGAAATTTTTTGAATCTGTACGTGAACCACCCTGGTCCCTTGCGCCCTGAGAAGCTCGAGTGCCCCTGCCGCAGCCAGCCCGTCGACCGCAGTTTGCATAACGCGGGGAGAAGACGTTGATGTATGGAGCGCTCTGTTCACACCATCTGAGTCTTCAGCACGCGAAATGGAATACGTACCGCCTGAGAGTGAGTCAGGACGCTCCCAACGATCTTCATGATGCCCCTAGGCGCATGCTAATCGTCCCTCGGATTCGCACGCAGTGCCTATCCGTCTCACGGAATGAGGGTGCGTCGGTCTCGGATATCATGCGCCCCATCTTTGGCCCGAACTCTGCGACTCGGAGGCGCGGTCTCAGACGGAAAGTGCACAAAAGCAAATCGAAGCCTGCTTCCATAGCATCCCAGCGCTCCACCGCCTGCCACTTCGGCCGGCTGTGCACCCTTTTGCGCTTGGACCTCGTACGTCTGTTAGCAATTTGGCGCGCCAGAGATGTCCAACAAGCTACCCGAGCCAACTAACTCTGTCTAGGTCTCCGATGAATGCGTGCAAGCGCCAGCGCGTCTCTGTGTGCCTTGCAGAGCGTTGGCGCTGGACGCTGCCGCTGCGGCAGCAGAAGGCAGAAGGCAAACGCTGCGCGCAGAGCAGGGACATCATGCTGCCGTATGCTTCCTGTGGGCCCTATCCGAGGCCTGTCTGGATACGCTAACACGCCGACGCCCACGGATCGTGTGACTGGGCTTAGACGGGGAGATCTGCGGCAGCGTGAGTAGCGGTTAGGGTATAGCGATCATTCGTCATCGGTGCAGCTCCCGCTGATGGCTTTCATACCTGTAGAATACAAGGACAGGGGAGCCGGCACAGCTGGGCGGGAGCAAGCGCGAATGATGGCGCGGACACGACAGGTTGGATACGACGACCCTCTGGTTCCGCGGTCTCCCTGGCGCGCATTCGCAAGGAGTGTGGCAAGCTTCGCCGAGGCCGAAGACCCTGCTGGCGTCCCAGGTGCATGCTGATTACTTATCTGTGATTCTTGGGCTCACAAGCCGGGCAACCTGTTGCTTTCTTCCGACCTCTTCGGGGGCACATGTTCCTCTAGAATCCAGAAGCTCATGCGGAATCGTCCACAAGGTATTTACCGCAGCTGCAAGTACTTCTATATTCGCACATACGCCACCTGGTGTGTTGCTCGGATACTCAAGCGACCGCTAGATCCCCGACGACACTGCAACTCGGCACGGTTCGTCAGTCGTCGGCGACTGAATATTATATAATTGCAATTATTGGCAAAGGTGGATTTCGCCGAAATTCAGCGGAATATCTGCCGGTCATCATCGCTGTGGCAGGACGGGCGTCGAGATGTCGGCACAAAGGGAGCCCGCAATACAACAGCTGCCGCACGGACGCATGCATTCTCGAGAGCTCGAATCTTCCGGCGGCCCCCGTGAGCGCGGCAGATCCCCAAGGCTCGGCTCACAAGCGCCCAACGAAATATGTTGCATATTTGCAGATCATCGTGTACACTACAACGCTCGCGGTATATAGACAAGCCGTACAGACAGCGAGCGTCGGATTCAGATCGATCGGGGTAGTACTGTAGAACAAAGTTTGAGAGACGACGAGTAAATATGTGCTCGCATGCTTCCGAGAACCCACGTGGAAGTCCTCGCAAGAACGGAGCAGGCCTGGGGCAGGCATGGCATCTAACGTAACAGCCAAACATAGACTGAAGAGACTAGAGATACAGGCGAGGGGGTATATGCAGTCTTAAGATACAGAGTCCAAAGCACGAAGTGCGTCGTTGTCGAGGGGGTGACGAGCGCGGTATGGGGTCGGCCGCATGTAGAGCAGCGGGGCCATGTCTTTTGGAGCATCGGGCGAGAAGAGTTTAATGTTCTGCATTTGCTGGATATCGGCAGACTTTACACAGTTGTCGCGCACGTAGATGGGATCGCGGTAGGGGAATTGTGGCGCTTTGGGGAGCTTGAGGCCCTCGGACGACGGCCGAGGTGCTGCTATCCGCTGTGTCGGCGGAGGATTAGGCTTCGGAGCCGATGCTGCTCGCGCTGCAAGGATCGGCGAAGCCGAAGAAGGCGAAACAGAATAAGGCGAGCGCCGCTGATAAGGGTGTCCGCCTCGCGCGGGGGAGTCCACGAGCGCAGCACCCGTTTGGTGCTCCTCCTGGTCGCCCTCTGCGCGCTGGCGAGATTTCGAATAACGAGCGGCCTGGAACTTGCCTTCTGGCACCTGATGGCGAAGTACGGCCAGTTCTGGAATGGCATCCACAGTGTGCAGATGATGCCCAGTCTCTGGAGAGCAATACGCCACTGTGTGCGAAACATCAGCGCTCGGGTGTTTGACATCAGGAGAGAAGCCCCAACCTAGATGCCATTTTCTTCGCCCATCTTGTGTTTCAACAAAGACTGAATAGGTTTGCTTAACAAGGCGGTTCTGATACCTTGAGCGCACGAAAGTGGGACAAGGGCGCAGTTGAGCACAACGTAGGTACATGACCGCAGTCCACTCACATAGCAGCATAGAGGGCAGCGTCCCCGACGTCGGGAAGTTTCTCTTGATAGTACAAGAAGTCCTAGGATTGGTTGCAGTATCCAATTAGCGACCTGGGCGCGTACGCATGGAAATAGATGGGCGCCTACCTTTGTCAGGCGACTGGCACCCCATCGTCGGGAATCTGTCCATCGCTCGAGGCCGTCCTGAGACTGGTCAGGTTCAATGGCAACCGTCGTTGTTCGCAGAGTGAAGACATACCCCCGCGATGTCCAACGTCGGGGCGCGCTCTTCCCATACGAAGACGCACCCAGAATGGATGGCGCGCCTCTCTTCAATGCTAAGGCGGCGGGACACGAGCGGGAGGATCCCGAGGGAGACGGCATAAAATATGACATTGCAGTCGGCAATAGACCTAACCCGGATCCGAGTGCATGTTGGTCGCTGTACCATGGTGTGTGTCAGACAAGATGGGGTGGGCGGCGAAGGGAGAGCTGAGGTCAGCGCTAAGAGCGTCTGGGCGTTTTAAGGCGGACGCTTAATCGAGTTTGATGTTGTAATCGGAGAAGACCCTCGGACTATGATAGGTTGTTTGTGCTGATGGTTGTAGCGAAAATGTGATCTTGGCCCTGGAAGGGAAGGGCGTGCCAGCAAATGACCCTTTTCTAGCCGGAAGTGCTGCAGGACCAGGCCATCCGACCGCAGACGCCTGATGCCCCCGAACTGCTTTGATACAAGCCGCACGCGCCGCTGAGAGACCGAGCGGCCTTGGGCGACAGCCGTAACCACAGGACGGCAACGGTAGTATAAGCATAAAACACCACCGATGCGCAGCGTAACCAAAAACCACCGGCTCTGGACATTTTCGTGGGTTATGTATCTCGGACAGCTGACAGGCGTATCGCTTGGTACAGGTTCTGCATCTGCTCGGTGGAGTTCTTACGCCGAGCAGCGAAGCTGCAAGGGCGTTACTCGAGACGCACTGTGGTTCTAGTGACGCCGTCAGGCGCCTCCAGAGAACGAAGCAGGCAACTTCGATAGCGTCAACAGACTGGAGGGCTGTGTCAGGCGTGCTGCGATGGTCGAGATGGGTAGGTGATGCCGTACAAACCTCGACCTTGCCGTTAGCTGGTGCATTCCAGCATGTATTTCACAATAACCTCACCCATCTGATATGCAGGCAGCGTGAGAAGAGGATCGACATGTGGGGGAAAGGTGTTTTAGCGGTTGGCGAACATGTATGGAGGCTAAAGGGGACATGAGTTCGATGTGATCCTGCCTGTGATTAGCATCCAACTTTCTGTCACTACCGCTCTTTAAGCTCGTCCCCGAGACAATTATCTGCTACCTTGCGTACGCCCATGTCCTCGTGTCGGCGTCGAGGCTGAACCGGACGTTGGACTGGTCGGAAGTCCAAGAGCCAACAAGAACGCTACTGCCGCACACTCCGACGAGGGGGCTGCGGATCATTTGCCACGTGCATCCCACGCGATGCCGATTCCGCTGCGATTAGTCCCGAGCTCCGAGGCGTTCTCCACACCGTGAAGGTACAGTCCTGTGAAGTCAGCGCTGCTCGATTCATTGAACACTGTATGTCTCTGCAGGTTCCCATGCGTGTATCATCGTACAGCACATCATCAAGGCATCAGGCTGTGCACCCTCGCGACCCACAAACAGAACTAAAGCGCACAGCTTTCAACTTGACCGAGATCACCCGCTGCGATTCTTTTACTTGCTGCGTTCTGGTAGGCGGCAATGATCGAAGCCGTTTGGCTTTGCTAGGAATGTCTGTCATGCCAGCTGTACCTCGTACCTGTGCCGTTGTCCTCGAAGTGAGCACTGAACAGCCCTCGCGATATGACCGAGAAGGCCGCGTCGGGCCGGCGGCTGTTCCCCGCCATCACCGGGCGCTGTGCGCTCACTGTCTGGCTGCCCAGCCATCATGTTTTAACACATTTGAGGCACGTCGAGTGCATGATACACTCGATCGATATATAATAAAAATGAGACAGCCTCGACAGCGTCCACATTCTCGTTCATCCTCCTTGTCTTCTTCTCCGTTTCTCTTTCTTCGATATCTGGCGTGGGTTGACGATGCATTCTATTCTTTATCTTCCTCTTGTGCTCGCCGCTGTACAGTTCAGCACTGCTAAAACCTTCAACACCCTCTCGCGCCGAGCATTGACGCAGAGTAACCTTGCGCAACATGCAGAAAATATCATCCTAGTAACAAACACTCTTCCGGGTCTCTTCCTCGACATCGACGTAAGCGACAACGAAGTCATCGTTCAAGTGGACTTGACCAGGTAAGCTTCGAATGCCATAAAAATTGAAGCTCTGCTAACGTTGACATCTCCATTAGTGCGGACCTGGTTATCGGTGGACAGCTCAACGGGGTGAACAACTCGAATTTGCTCACCACTGCCCAAGCTGAAGTAGATTACTCCTTCTTCAACCCTCCAGTGGATGGTGTGTCACTCACCGAGTGCCTAAGAGCGGCTGGTATTAACATGAGTTGCAGCTATCGGAAACATCCCGCAAACGACGGTATCCATAGGCGGCAACTCGGCACAGCAAGCTTTTAGTACGGCTTTCCATGCTTCTGTGCAGATTAGACGAACTGGCTGACTTATCGCGCTCGCACAGTCCTCACCTCGCAAAATCCCTTCACGGATATTGAAAACGCGTTCCCTCAGTCCCAGGCCGTTGGTGTCTTGGGTTTCGGCCCCACCGGGGCATCGTCGGTTCACAGCGTGCTCGCGAAAAGCCATAGCCCCATCGACCAAGTGCTCCTCACCAACGCAACCAACCCATTCATCACGATATTATTCCTCGGCTCTGAGCTGGCAAATGGCTCTTCCAGCCCCGCGCCTGCCGGCTTCTTCTCCGTGGGCGAGGTTATAGATCTCCAAACTCTCCTTCCCAATTTCGGCGGGACCTCGCCGCCTGACCTCTCAGTGATTAACAGCCGGTCGGCAATTTCCCTGGGTATCGAAAACTCGTTCACGGTCGACCAGATCCTACTTAACGGGGCTAGTCTCCCTGTGGTCAGCTCAATTCAGGGCACGACCCCCGGCGAAGCGGTCGCTATCATTGCCGGGACGTGCCCATACAACTTAGTGCCAGCGGAGATCGCGCAGGCATTCTACAGTGGCGTTAGCGGAGCGACACTCGATAGCCAGACCGGACTTTGGCATGTGCCGTGCGGCACGAACCTCACAGTGGAGGTGGTCCTCGCGGACAGCACGGTCGTCATGGATGGCGACAGCGTCGTTATTACCCTTCCGGGCACCTCACAATGCGTGGGATCGGTACGTCCCTGTTCATCATCGTCCGGACGTCTTGCTGAGCACGTGCCGCACATCAGTTTAAGGTTAATAGCAACCCTTCCCCGAACTGGGACATATCGTTTGGTACCACTTTCCGTACGTTACCAGACCCTATCTGGAAGTAGCTACAGCCGCTGACAAGGGACCTCCAGTTGAGAATGCCTACATCTTGCTGGGCTACTCTGGCCAATCTGGCCAGACCCTGACCTCCCCCATCATGAAAGTCCTGCCCTACGCAGACATCGGGGGTGCGGATGAGTACTATGCTGCTCTGACAGGCAACACCGCGCCGCAGCCCACGACCACGCGGTTCACCACTGTTACCTTTACACATACTCCAACAACAACGATCTGGCTGGGCAGCCCCACGCCGACTCCCACAAGTGGATCCTCAGCTGAGAAGCTCGCCGGCGCTTTGGACGCCGAGTCTTCGAGCTCTAACGCTCCCAGTGGGAGCGTCGGCGATCAGGTGAGTCGTCACACCCCGCGCGCAACCAGAACAGGAGGGGAGTTTGCTGACGCGTTCTGTGACAGCTCAAGCATTGCCTGCCGGCTATCATCGCGCTCGCCGTCGTCGTCGGCCTGTTCTTGGTCGGCATGATCGTGTACTACCTCGTGAGCCGCCGGCGCAAGTCCGGCGTCAAACAGTCGGCATACTCGAACATCCACTTTGCCGAGACGACCGACCACTCGCGGACCTTGTATGGGCACGACGAGGACATGTCCAAGTACTCGGATCCTTATACCGACCACCAGTTTTAGTTTTTTTTTCATTTTACTTTATTTTCTGTACTACACGCCAGCGCCTGTGTCTGTATTTCTTCGTTGGGTGTTTCGTTTGATGTATCAGCGGACTTAACCCTTAACTTATGTACATACGGTATCCGCACAGAAACTGTCGTTACCGGCTCTCGAGCACTGCGGTACATGCCTTTATTGTCCTGCGTGCCGCTGCCACTACGAGCGCTTACATGGCAAGCGCGTACGTTGTAAGGCTTAGTTAGATGTGCGCGCTCCGGAAGGATGGTCTTGGTATTTTCATGACGGCTGAAAGTCTGATTTGTACCGACGTCTGCAGTCGCACTTTCCAAACAAAAAAGAGAGAAATACCGTACAGCTTCGCGCGTTCCAAAGTATCGCTGTCGAGGGTCCATCTTGAGACATGAGTATGGAGGCAAGCGAAGAATGATGAGTATAGTAGGCCTAACGTACTTCTCTGTCCTTTTAGCTCTCAATGTCGGCGCCGCAGGCGAGTCTACGCGTCACATGATGATCGTCCAGGTACGTTTCTGGCTTCTTGCGACTGATATCGGAGATGGAAAGGCAGCATCTGTCAGGTACAGTACCCATAAAGGGCTGCATCGTAGTACCCTGGACATCAGCTACCAGGAAAGCCTGTAAGTGCTCTGGTGCTTCGCGTCCGCCCTGGGTCCGTCAGCGATTTACCTCAGGCCCGTTTGTGTGGCGGGGAGGCGGCTGTTGAAGGGGGCGAGAAAGGACTGGTGCGTCCGTTGGTATGTCGCTCACCTGTCGCGAGTAGTTGGAAGCTAGAAGATTGTCATTTGGCGGTCCCCCGCGTCATAATCACACGACAGACAGAGCGGTGTAGCCGTCTATTTCCGAGACATGAGTAGAGTAAGTGGTCTGGATCATGGTGGTAAGCCTGTTAGCAATGTCTCGGCCTTGTCTTCCCCGCGAAGGTTTTCCGCCATATCCCAGAGTGAACACAGTACGCCTCCTCGTCTCCACCGTGCTCACACTGCCCGGTGGGGCACGACGCGCGCTATGATAGCAGTGGGAGCGTTTCGTATGCTAGTCTCTTCTATTTTCCACGGTAGACTGAGTATAGACTGCGGAGGCGCGGGGCGTTACTGGATGGCGCTTGCGGGAACGACGATTCCGGGCCATTCTATAGGGGTCGGCGCTGTCAAATTGGCATTGGCATCGGGGATGTGCACTACGTGGAGGCTCGGCCCCGATGCATCCTGTCAGGGAATTCTTCGTCAGCCTACGCTTCTCTTAGTCCTTTAAGCGCGATCCAGCTGCTATGCGCACGGCTGCCGGCGGCGTTGGTGGGCACTGGGCGTTGTAGACATGCTGGTGCATGATCATGGCCTAGATAATAAGAATCGCGAGGTCAGAGTCGGCGCACACAAACGCCGCGGATGTCCGCTCTGCGCCCTGTACAGTAATGCGTGCTGTTTCAAAGAGTGGTAGATGACTGTACCTTGGTGCCGAGGATCACTGATTATAGAGAAACCCAGGCTGTGATCGACGGATGGGTTCTTGCATGTAAGAAAAGAATTAATCGCTTCTTAGAACAAGCCAGAGGCACCTTGGATGATAGACTGCAAAGTGACGAGCTGTTTTCTGTGTACTGGCCAGCGCGCGCTATAGTCGAAGGCGGTGTGGGGTGCAATTCCTCAAATGGTGGAAGGTGTGCAGATAAGAGTCGGTCATGGGATAGTTCGGCGACGACTGGCTCTAGGCGGCACCCCGATCCACGGCAAACGGGCCTGGGAGAATATTGCCACAAGAGGGGTAACCTTCCACGCGGACCGTGCTCATTAGTCAGCGTCTGATGACCTTTCGGGCATTAGGACTTGGCTCACCGGCTTCACCACTCCCCACCACGACGTTTCCGACGTCCTCCTTGTCCACTCGAGCACGCTCGCATTTCGTTACCGGTCCCAGCTGCAAGACCCAGCGAGTATGGCTCCCAGTTCAGCCATGAAAGCGTAGGACTGACGACTTGCAGCCCGCAGCGTTTAAAGCACGCAATTTCTTGCGCAATGGCACCGTCAAATTTGCAGGGGCTTAATATCGTCCAGCCCGCTCCACCGCAGAATCCTTACCTGTCCGACCAGGATCTGCTCTCTGTTCCCCCGTTCCCCGACCTAACAGCCCAACTTGACTTATGGACGAACCTTAGCTTTCAGTCGGACGAGCCCCTCGTCTCCCGCAAGGACGTCGGGAAACGCGCCGGGTCTGTCCCAGCCAGCGAAGATGATTCCGATCGCTACAACCTCGGCGACGATGAGTTGCATGCCACTGGCAAGATTGCCGAGACGCATGCGCATGAGAACGTTGTAACGGGCACCGTCGTTCCTCCGACCTCCGTTCCCACTCCTGCATCTACCGGACTACCTCAGCTCCCTCCCTTTGATATAGGGAGCCTCTTTGCAAGCTTCGGAATCGACCCCTTCCAGATCCCGTCCTTGCCATCTGTCCCCTCGCCTGCAACAGCCACTAACACACCCTCACTCGCCCAGCTACTCTCCTATCACTCTGTCGCGGGCCTTCCCCCTCTTAACATTCCAGGAACCACTTCTGCTACTCCCGCACCGGCATCCGTGTCTGTCACATCCGCTTCCACCGCGACGCAGTCCCAGCAATTGGCATCAGCAACACCGGCACCAGCCCCGAAGCGTGCGCGGACCTCTCGGGCGTCCATCTCGATGGATCGCCGCTCGCCTGAGGTGTCGTCACCGGTTTCCCCAGAAGCCGACGAAGAGTCCTCGTCTACCACGATGACAGCAGCGGAGGACAAGCGTCGGCGAAACACTGCCGCCTCGGCCCGCTTCCGCCTCAAGAAGAAGGAGCGCGAGGCCGCACTCGAAAAGAAGGCGAAGGAGCTCGAAATGCGCGTGGGAGAGCTCGAGAAGGAGTGCGAGGCCCTGCGCAGGGAAAATGGATGGCTCAAGGGTCTCGTTGTCGGAGTCACCGGCGCGGGTGCCGTACAGCAGCAACAAGTCGCCGCTGCAACCGCAGGCGCGAAGAGGACGAGGGAAGAGGCAGACGAAAAGGCGCAGTCATGATAGATTTACGTTACCTCTCCGTCATTCCATCGTTTTTCTGGCACTCGCTGTCGCACGTCGTGGGTTCTCCGTTTCGATACGTACTAACGAATACTGTATTTGTATGTACCCTTCCCCGGGAACACTAACCTTGTGCGTCTTGTAGACATCTCAACTACTGTATTTTGAATACCACAGGCTTTTTGGACGTACCCATATATTGGCTCGCGCATATCGATGTCGCCGTTAGAGGACGAATGTGACTTGGTCGAAAATTCAAGCGCTTATGGTGTCCGGGAACGAGTGGGCGACCCCTTGAATGCTGAACAGAATAGGTTAGCTTGACGGCCCACCGAACGTGGTGCAGATAACGAATCAAGAGGACCGCATCAATAGCGCGCATTCGCATTGGCTGCGGCTCATGTTCCCGCCTCTAAGTTGCAGCGACGCTCGGACGGACGACGACCCTGAGTGGTACGCGACCATCTAATTGTCTAGTGACCTCAGCAAACCTAGCGTCGCCCTATGCCTGAGAGGGTATGGCCACAGAGCGATAGCTCGCTGTGGACTTGGAATGTCTAAAATGTTAGAAAGCCCGTCCCCCGCTCTTTTTGAGTCTGGCTCCCGCTCGTCATGTATAACCCCCGGTCACTCCAAGTCATCGATAAAATACATAGTTTGCAATGGTTTACTTTGATATGAAGTCTGGCACGGATGTGTTACTTATTTGAACAAAGCTCCATCGCTTCATCTGTACACAGAAATGATGACCGGCGGCCCGCCTTCAGATGCGCCGCGGCGTCCATCGTGTACCGGCGGCAGCAAATGCAACTGGTCACTAATGACGTGCACAGAGTGTTTTGAAGTTGTGGACGTGTCGGTCCCAGTGAGTGTGTTGTGGACTCGCTGCCACTGCCTCTGTTTAAACCCTTGTTGCTCAGGACGCAGGCCTCGGAGGAGGGCGGCATCTGTGGGGTAAGCTTTTGCAGCTATTTTATCTTTGATCTCTCTCTCTTAACAACGTGATACGTCTCGGCCTGTGCATCCAACGATTGCTTTGGCTGGCGAGGCGATGCTCTCAAGCGAGACGGTCTGGACCAGGCTGCCTATGCTTGAGCCCACAAACATACACATCCCAAAAGGGCAAAACATCAGATCTGATAGTCACGTGTGCTCTACACTGCAAGCGCTTGTCGTCACCGCGGTTTCTTAGGCTACGCTCTCCGTACCGACGCTCTCGACCTATGCCACCACCGGGCAGCACCATCGTCGCTGCCGCAGACGATGTAGACAGCCTGTATCATAATCCATTTGCTGCATCTTCGTCTACCAGCTCGTTCTCGTCGGCGTACACACCCAAGGACGCCCAGATTGGGGCGAGGCCGACGCTGAGGCGTCGCGGATCAGAAGGTCCTGCAAGGCGGTCGAGGAACGACCACGATCCATTCGCAGATGACACGGCGGCGGCGGCGCATGTGAGGTCTAGGACGATGGGTGCCGTCGTGGGCAGTAGCAGCGCGACCAGTCTCAGACATCCCCTTGCCATCTCGAGTCTTGGCTCCAACGCCAGCTCCAGCCGTTCTTCCCTCACTGACACCCGGCCTCGCCTAAAGCGTCTTTTGAGTAACTTGGAGACTACATCTACCCCACATCACGAAGAGGGGGAGGAATCAGGGCTTGCGACGTCTCCCACGAACGACGCAAGGCTGAAAGAGCGGCTCGTCATTGTTCACGAGGCAAGTTGCAGTGCATAATAATTCGCATTTCTCCCTCGCCTAATGTAAGGTGAAAATTGCACTAGGTATCTTCCAAAGACTCTCTACCAGGCGTCGCCCTCAAGTATGGCATTTCTCTGGCAGATCTCCGGCGCGCGAATCAGATGTGGCCCTCAGACCAAATACACCTCCGCAAAGTCCTCTACATCCCACTAGACAAGTCGCATAAGGCGAAAGACTTCGTGCTTTCGCAGCTTGAAGTCAATTCAACTCCACCATCTCTAGACGAGCAGTCCATTAATGAAGAAGACAAGCCTAGCGTCAACGGTGCCGGATCATCTTTGACGATACGCCGCGTCTCCGCATCTCAGCTGTCGTTCTTTCCGCCCCCATCGTCCAGTTCCCTCTCATTATCCTCGTCCATCTCTCACACAGTATCGCGCTCCGCGAATAATAGTCTTAGACGAGACGCGATACCTTTCAGAGCAACTCCGTCTAATTATTCGTTTCTCACAATGTCGGCCTCGCTGTCAATCCCTGACGCGGCGGTTGCTACGGCATTAACTGTGCCGTCGGCGAATAGCCTGTCTGGGCGCGGTCAGATCCCATCATTGTCAACCTTGTTCAGCGGTCTCCCTATTGGACGCATTTCTTTCGATTCAAACACTTCTACGCCGAGTCAGGTCAGCGACGATCAAGAGCACGAAATGAATGACGTTTCGCACCGCAACTCGTTGGACGAACCACGCGACATACGTGACCCTCGGCCGCGCACTCCCTCCGCCAAGCCTTCGCCTAACGCGAAGGTATCTCCGCGACAGAATGGGCTCGAACTGCGTCTATTTCCTGAAATGCAGGGTGGACACTTCCCTGAGATCACAGCGTCCAGGGACACCCGAGCAACCCGTACCCCGACGAAAGACCCGAAGACAGCCGTGTACGTCAGCCCCGACCGGCGCATACTTGCGCCGGAGACCGTCCGCACATCGCAGTTGGAGCCATCGCCCGCCATGCAGCTGCCGCTGCGGCCTGGACGGAGTAGAGACGGGTGAGGGTCGAGAATGCGGTTGGCGTGCTTCTCTCTGCGCACCGCGAACTGCGTGTTCTATTACGTCTGCCGACAGGCGTTTGGTTGAACCGAGAAGACTCGCTCGTGCAACATGGCGAGAGAACCGCAGTGGATCGGCGCCGAGAGCCGCTATTTTTCGTAGGGTGCAGGGGTAGGAGCGGCTGTGCGAGCCACGGCAAGGGTTCGCCTTGTCGGCGCAAGGTCTCTGAGCCGAGACCGGGTGCGCCTACAGGGGAGGAGAAGTGGCAGGGCGTCGTCGCGTTTCTCTATTCGCGCCTCGTCGTTGCCAGTGTGTCAGCCTACAGGACGGAGTCAGCAGGAAGCGTCACGGCCGACGCATCTGGCGGTGATCCCAAATACCGGTTTCGAAGACTCCACGGCCGCAGCGGCCGGTTCGTTGACATTCCTCCCTGCGCCGTCGCGTAGCTTTAACCGACTACTGTCTAACGGACAGAACCGCCGCGACCGACGTCGGGTGGACCCACATCGTACCCCGCGGCAGGTGGATTGCGATGTCGCGGAGGAAACTGTGTTCGCTGTCAGAGTCAGGGTCCTTGCTGTCAGTGTTCGCAGCGGCGGCGAGCTTAGTGATGCGCTCTCTTGATCGTTTACCCCATTTGTTAGGCTCTTAAGGTTCGCCCTTGGGAGTGAAGTAAAAATACGTTTATCATCCGGTGCTTGAGAACACTGTCGGGTGGGCGGTCTGGTGATGGAGCTGTGATGCACGGAACTTCTACTGGGCCGTGTTGCCCGCAATGTATTGTACCTCATAGTGAGTTTAGAATCTAGAATCATTGGAAACTCCTTACTTCTCATGTCGTCGGCCTCAGGTTTTCCACCCGTGCGCCTGGCCGTGTGATTCTGCCGTATATCCTGTTCTCTGCGCGGATGAGGCAACGTGAAGGGCTACCGCTATCTCATCTCACATGGCGGTCGTCTGGGATTGGCCAGCGCCTCGAGTCGGCCTAATTCAGTTACTGCGGTCATCTGCCGTGAGCCAGCCAATCCTAGCGCGGGTGTGGCGGCCACGCCCGCTGGCCTGGGGGTTCACACACGCACTGTCGACGTTCCCGGAGAAATCCAATCGCTCGCCACATCGCCTATCTCGAGGTCGAGACCGCTGCAGCCAACCCTTAATGAAATACTGAGGCGCCGACGGCTGGGCCCATGGTCTCTCGGTTAGCTGTTACACGCACCCTCGTGATCGGCGGCCGGCCTTCTCGTCCTCTTCTCACGAAGGCGAGCACATCGAAGGGCTGCATGCGAAGCCTCCGACGAGTCCAGCCTGATCTGCTTCCTCCCTATTCCTGGGGCGTCGACCTGGACCGCTGGCTCATGAAAAGAACAGCCGAGCGGACTCGCGACGTGCGACTCCCGGTGCTTCCCCAGGTACCTTTTGACGAGCTTATGCGTTTTCTATAGAACAAACCTAGGAAATCGGCCATGCGCTCTCAGGCAAGCCGTGTCGTGCGAGTTAAGCTTGCAGTTGTCCTCGCGCACAGGAACGTCGATATATCCGGACCACTGCAGGCATCAAACGCTAACCCTGACCATGCTGCAGTGTGTTTCAGTAGAGACGCGAGGAAGCGGACATCACGCGCGGCAAGTCTAGAAGAGTCTTCGCGCCGTGGATATTCAGTCCAGAACACCATCCTGTGGACGGCTGGTCGTGTGGTGCGCCGTTTATGTCCTCTTTTGTCTTCCATGTCGCAGCTGTCCTGCAGATCGTGGGTCTGGGACGAGGCCTGGCCAGCGACAGCCCAGGAGGTGTGCACGAAGCATGGCCGGACGTGCCAGTCCGGAGGAAGGTTTGCGACTACTCCAAACAATAGTTTACATTTGCGGACGCGGTCGCATGTCAGAGCACGGTGCTCGATAGGGTGCCATTAGGTACGTAGTCGTGTCCCCTTTTCTATGAACCTTGTACCGAACTCTAGTCGCGTTTCTCACTGCCTCGGCTACAGGACGGGTCAGGCTCCGGATCGGCTCATGCATCCGCTCCTCAAATCCTAGTTAACTACTTCCAGCCTATCAGCGCGTCTGTCGGTAGTTTGTGAGCGGGCCCTAAGGCTCCTCTCCACTGTCACAATGCCCTCTCTTGGGTAAGCCCCACAGCCACCACATGCTCAGCACCTGCCATGGCTAATTGTACCCGCAAAGATCAGCATATGCATTTTTGCGGACATGCCACCGCGCCGCAGCTAAAAAGATCCAGAAAGCTGCCAAGAAAATGTCGTGAGAGGCGAAGTAAGCACCCTAGACTTTCGTTCTCGTAGATGAGGCAGGAGGTACTGAAGTGCTCGAGTTGTGGAAGCAGTATGGCTAATGCACTATGATTACTGCGCCGCTCATGTCCAGGCGCGACCGCAGCTCGTTCAAGATAGCGAAAACCGGGCGGATCTTTTAGCCCTGTCGGAATTTCTAGTGCGTCTTCATACCTCCGTCTTCAAAATCTTCGGTACTTTCAGCTCTAGTGATGCACCTGCTGACATGGACTGTCAAAAGGAACTGTAAAAATATGTTTGTGCCAATTTGGGACGCGCTAGATTGCACTTCAATCGTGGACGCTCGCACATCGATACCCGAACATGGACAAGTTCGGTTCTCTCGCTGCACAACTGCCGAGGACAATTAGAATTAGGGTTGTCTTGCGACGGCTCCTAAAGGAGTGGATTAACCGTCATTGAGTGGACCCTAGCCTTGACCGCCAGCTTTGAGCATGTCCGCTGTGAAGATGAATTCCATGTGAGTCTTGACCTGTCTTCAGTTTTTTCTTGACGTGTTGTGCTGAGAAGGGTCTTCATTTCGTGCAGCCGGCCGGTTTTGCATGGCGGATGATCTACACGCAACACTATATGGCTGTTATTAAACTCTCCATTTAATTATTTTAGCGTCCAAAGGCCACACAGTCGCCCAGCACCCTCGTGTGTCTCGGCCGCTGTCGCTGTTACTCTACTAGCTCCGCGAAGTTTTCATTTTTCTCCGATAGGAAGTTGTACGAGTTTGTCCATTCGATATGCTTTCCAGACGTATTCGCCGATCACATCTCCCAAGTCCCACAACGTCGGAAGGTTATGCGTTGATTCAGAAAGTTGCGCGTAACGTGTATACGCTTACTGTGCACAGGTATGCTCGCCTGTCAGACGGAGTCAGAGCCCATGTGCCAATAGAGCTAATCATCGGTGCAGTCATATATGCGCGCATAAAATGAGCTAATCAACCGTGTAGTCATTCATGCGCGCATAGGAAGGACGGACAAAAGGACCCGGGATGTGCAAAGATCTCCGAATCCGCTGGGGCGTCCGAATCTTACTAGCGCGCGGTAAGCACTGAATGAATTACATCGCAAGTCGTCGCGCCGGTTGAGATGTCTTTGTCTCACAGAGCGAAGGTAAAGCGGATCTACGGCTCGCTACTGCGATCTGCCTGGCATCTGGACGCCGCAGTGAAACAGTGCGGGGTAATCAGAACAGGACGTGCGAGCATCCCGTACCATCTGCAAGGCACACTATCCTGTGCACAAACATTCAAGAATAAGGCAGGGTGCGCCGGTGGTCCCAATGTACGTTTGTAACAATCAAACGCCTGGGACGAGCCCGGTCGAGACGTCTGTCTGGCCACCCTAAAACTTCATTCCCGCTGATCACACCAGTAGCGGGTCCTCTGCCAGCGCAAGAGACTCTGCCAGGACTCGTAACCTTCGTTCGAGTTTTCCGGTTTTCCAGTTTTCCAGCATTCATCATTTGGCTTGGCATGGGAAGTAGCCTTACCATGCAATAGAGTGTAGCGTGGCACCCGACCCTATTCACTGTACATCATGCGTTCCGGCCGGATGTGAAAGGATTGCTAAACTTGCTGCTGCGCGTCGTTGCCAGCATGTCACAGTCGGCAGATTTGAATTAATTACGGTTGTACCGCAGAAGGTCCCGCTGGAGCGGTGCGGACGCCGACTCAGTAAGCATTCCTGTAGCCCAGCTCGTGCCGCAGAACGCTGGAGCACGGTAGATGCCACCCCAGATCCAAGGCCCTGGTGGTACCAGACGGAGTTACGTTGGACATAGGCTTGCTCTGCGCGCCGTGGCCATGCTGTCCACGCCTAGAGACGCTAAAACCTTATCGATATATCTCTCAAGTGCCGGCCGATCCATGCTGTGTGAGAGACAGAGGTATGAATGCGCGACAGGGCATTTCAAAGCGAGTGATATGCAATGAACAATGACGACAGAAGATAACTAGCGTGTACGTACTACGAGAGGTCAGACAATAGAGATGTAGGCGATCAGTCCGCAACATCGAGGCATAGAGCATGTGAAACGAAACAGAACAGAACGAAGCCAGCTAGCAATACAGTCCGAATAGCAGGAGAAAGTATTATACGCAAACGCTACCTTAAACGCACAGAGGCCAACAATGAACAATACGACCTCCACGCAAGACTAACGTCGAAACGAGCGCAGGACCTGCTCATCTACAGGGTCGCGTGTTCCAGGAGAGAGACTCTGGAGGTACTCCAGGGGAGCCAGCCGACACTCCAATGAAGCCAGCCTGACTCCGTCAGAACTGTACCCGGGAGAAGCGGTCAGCGAAGCTCGCTTCTCGGAATACGGCGACATCGGCAAAGGCATCACATCGGGATAGGATGCAGAAAGCTGCACAGGATGGCCTTCTTCAGCGGATGGAGAGGGCCGTGCGGTGGTGCGGGCGGTCTTCCGCAGACTGCTCGTGCGAGCGCAGTGGTACTGGCCCGGAGGCACTTGGATCAAGCGCAGCTCCGGGTAGTCGTCGACAGTGTTGAACTTGTTGACTGTATCTTGAGTGTAGTACGCGTCTGACGTCGACGTTCGATAAGGGTTTAGAGCTGACAGTGCATGAGAAGGAGCACGTACTCAGATGCCACTTGCGGGAGTTCCTCGGACCATCTACATATGCGGAGTAAGTTTGTTTGACAAGTTTCATCGACCTGTGATATGCAATCAGTTAAAAAGGGAGTCCCATTAACGGTGGGAAGAAAAGGATCCCACTGAAGGCCGTTGTTCCTTGTCATGAGAGAGCTGCGGCTAGGGGTATCTTTCTCTTGATACACGAGGAAGTCGCTGTTAAGGCGACGATATATCGTTCAGCTTTTGAAGGCTATTATGCATGGCCAAGTTACGTACTCGCGAGCCTTCGATGGCCCCCATGACCGACCGTCTGTGAAACGCTGCATGGCTTCCAGCGACGGCGCGTCCAAAGGATTGCTGCTTCGTTCTTCCCACACGTAGATGTCGCCGGGCGCGAGGGCTTGACGCTCCTCATCGTCGAGCCGGCGGTGGAGCATGGGGAGACGTTTCGTGGCGACGGCATGGAGGATGACCTGTGCGTCGTGCACACTGCGTATGCGCATTCTGCGACAAGTAGGCTGCTGCATGTTAAGAGTTGATGTGGGTAGGGAGGGTGGGGTCACTCAGGGAGACTGCAGGGCTGAATATAAATGATCTGGGATGCGCGGGACTGGGCTGACCACCATCCTAATCACCGTAGAGCCGTGCAGATGGCACGCAGGCGATTAAGTTCTTGGGCGATGCGGGCCACTAAACCCTGGACAGAAGGGACCACAACGTCAGCACACAGCCGAGTTTGGGCGGGAGAACAAAATGCACGCGCATCAAGGGCGTTTTTGAGATAACCTCTCTGAAGGTTGTCTTGCTAATTTGATCAAAAAACTCAATCTCGGTCAGGGTCTCATAGCATGGCAGGCTGACCGTGGCGCTCCGAACTAAATGTAGCACCGGTCCTAAGCCTGAAATTGGGAGAAAAGAGCCGCCATGTGAACATGGGCAGAATTCAGAGTCCGTCGTTGAAACGGAGTTGAATCATCATTAACCATCGCGCTACGTCTTTCTCGGAAGGTGCGTCCCAGTGCCTCATTCTGAAAGCGTTCAATGTCAAACGTACCCTCTACGTAGGCCGAGGCATCCTCCAATAATTGTCCAGCGCAGATGTACCCAGATGTTCGCGACGTGCCTGCCATTTGAGCACATTTCCCGCGGGCGCAGTGACGTGTTCTGCCAGGGTCAGAGCTGCCTAACCCCACACGCCTGCCTCCGTTGACCTGGTATCTTTCCTCCTTTTCCAAGCCCCCAACCATGGCTTTAGGCTACTATGCATCGATGCCTGCGCTGCGATTGGTCATGACAAACTAGGAAGTGCCATCAGCGGGCCCTGATGCGCCTCATGCCCTCCCGCGAAGGTCACCCAAGGTTGTCCTTGACCCCCATGGCTCCTCCGCCAAACTTTCCCTGCAGCCTTCAAAGAAGCTATGTTAACGGCATGACAGAGGCTTGTGTCGTTTTTGACCCACACATGTGATCCGTTGAGCAAGGAAACCAGCGGTATAGCTTTGTCTCCGCTTAGACGCGGCTCGCCGCTGACGATCGCCAAGTTCGTCCAATGAGAGACGAGAATACGCGAGCAACGAACGGTAGCTTCCAAGCATCACCAAATAATTGTATAGCTTGAACTCTACCAGCGCGACGCCGGGCCTTACAGAAGTACTCGCTGACACTTGTGGGGTGGTAGCTTCGAGTGGAACCATGTCCTTCAACAGTGTCTCGCCCGCACATCTGGGCCATGCGGACTTTACTCAGCGTAGCTTCTTGCCGCGAATGCCTTCTTGTGCTGCCCATCGGAGACATACCCTTGGCGGGTATAATTGCACTCCGACTCCGCGTCGTGCTTCACGTTACCTGAGCTTAAGTGATGGATGATGGTAAGTCTGAGCTACCTCTGCCGTCATAGTCCCAAAACTTTGATAAGAATATATCTACAGTGATTTTAGTAGGAACGTGTGGTCTGGGTTCATGTGCGCCATGCGGGTAGGTCCCTTGGGGGCTCGACGATACCATGACACACCTTTTGCCACTTGCTCGGATGCCAGCCTGGCAGTCAGACCAGTACGTCAAAACCCACGCTAGTAAAACAGGTGCACTGTGATGATGTTGACCTAGGCCCGACTACCGATGTGCTGGACGCTACCTTCCTCGAAATTCCACGCACGAGGCACGGCACCATTGTCTGTCTTTCATTTCCTTGGGAGGACGTCTCTCGCTTATTGATCCGCGCGCGAAAGCGGGAATGTCTGGACACGAGTCGCAGTACCCGCGCGAACGAGGCCAGTACAAGTACGGTGCCACCGCCGAATCAATGCCGTTAAGTGTAACTTCCTGTCTGCGTGTCTGAAGTCCAACCGTGCTATAACCCTGGTCTTCGCTTACAGGCACCACATTGCGCGATGGCCCCAACCTTATTACACTGCCTACCCCCGAATCTAGGATAATGCAGTATTGTTCTCACCGATGACAAGTGCGAACGTCGTGCTGAAATCCGACAGGCAACTGACGACATCGGCGGGGCGTTCCCACATTCGATCGCCGCTCGTACCGACGCGGCACCGAACTGGCTGGTTTTGACCCGCTTCTGTGATTGCTCCGAAGACGAGAGCTGGCCCATCGTCTTGCGACTGTACTGCGAGCAGCGGACCGTACCTGTAGATCTCCCGAGCTCGCAGACACCCACGCCCGCGGACACTGCGCCGAACGCCGGAGGCGGATCGCCAGTTGTGCGCGGCAGAGTCTATAGAACGGTTGTGCCGCACCCACACTTCACGCCGATCAGCCCTGCAAAGACCGCAGTGAGGAAACATCGTCGATGGTAGGCCCCCTCTTGCACCCTGGATCGGCGTATAGGATCTACCGCCACATCTCATTGCAGAAGCTACACCATTGAGTCTATAGCTTGCGATGCGAATTCACGCTTGTATTCCACAACTGCGTTTGAAGGTTATCCATCGGTAGTTACATGAATAGCCTGCCATCCCCACGTCCCTGTCGATGCTAGCTTGATCGAGACTAGAGTTAGCTCCCGGTGTCCAACAGAAAGGCGCAATTTGCCCAAGTACGACGCTGCCCCTGCTGACTACTTGAGTACGCATGGAATGCTTGGGCAAGCCTTGGACGTGGTTACGCGAGCGAGTACTGTCGCACGCTAATATCCCAACCTTGATATGCTTATTTTTATTCGCCCCGTACCTCTATCGGATAGTGCAATCCCCAGTCATCACCTCACTATGTCCACATGTACTCTGTCGTCATGCTGTTCCCATCGGTATCTCATCTCACGCAGTAAGAGCTCGGCAAGAGGGACGCCCCTAGCCACAAACGGCCCAGATGGTCCAGAAATCAGATGCGCTTTCCGCGTATGAGTCCTCCTCGCGGTCTCCAATATGTAGGGACTCGAATCGGGAGAAGACCATGTAGTCCCTGATCACGAGCACTCGATGCATATGTTGATTCCGCTCGTAGCTAAGCAAGTGCAACCCCCGAGTCAATTACACGTTTAGAACGCACTTTGTGAATGTATCGTCATCCACACAGATACGCGGTCAGTTCCCCGAAACGTCATGCAACCATATTAAAAGCCCTTGCCGTAGTCGTTTGAATCGTAGAAGGTCTGCAGCCTCGTGGCGATCGAATCCAGAGCAGCAAGCCACTTGTCGAGCTCCTCGTCGAGTTTCTCCTGAGGGACTGGAGGCCCGCCTGCAGGATCCGCGGCGAGCTTATCGAAGAACGCTGCCCGGTATGGGCAAGCCTTCATCGCCACCTAGAAAAGAGGTGAAGGCGAGATCGATCGGGGACACACAGACGAGAACATACGGCAAAGACACCCTTAACCACGAAGTTGTGATACTTCTTCAGGGTCGCGCTGTACGATTCGCTGAAAGCGGTAGAGAGCTCTGTCGATTTGTTGGCCTGGGCAATTTGCAGGGCCTTGCACGTGAATGCGAGGCCTCGGAGGAGCCAGAGCAGGCCCTCGGTCGCGGTGCGCTTCTTCTCGCCCTTCTCGTTCTCCACAAGCAGCTCGAGGGTTCCAGACTGGTCGGGCACGGCGTCGTACCGCGCGCGGACTTTCTACAGGAGAGTTCCCATCAGTAATCAGCGGTACGACCCCACGGGGGCTATATGTTACCGCAATGTTGCTCTTCAGGTCGTTCTGCACAGCAGCGAAAGCGGCAGAGCCAAGGAGATCTAGGATACGTCAGCGATGGATCCGCTGTACACGCACGAGCACACGTACCAAATAGGTTAACTACTCCCTGAGCAGCCTCGAGGAAAGTGATGGTGTCGACGCCAGCGTCGGTGACAGGAACGTCCGTAAAAGACTACATGTCGTGTGAGAGATTGCGGTGGTTAACTGATATGCATAAAATTACTTTGACAGTCTCAAAATAAGGGGCCATTGTTCGTGAATAACAGTGTAGTGGAAAGAGGTCGTTGAAGGAGATGGAAGAGGTGCACTGCTGGCGGTGATGGCTGTGCTGGCGTTCCCAGTAATTGTTTTAGCTTCCAAATCGCAAGCGATCTAATCTGATGCTCTGGTTAAGCGATATCTGCGAGATTCTATATGTGGACGTAGCTCAAAGGCTGATTAGATTCAGATATTACGACCCCGTCTTCATCCCCCTTCTCGAAAAATGCCACACGCTGACTCTGCTTTTGTACCTCAAGGGCTCGACAAGATACAGTTCTGGAAACATGTGTATGAGCAGCTGGTTGCGCTGCTGGACGGCCAGAAGTCTTGGGTGCGTAGATCGCGCAGCTCTCGCCCTCCAGCCTGCACAGTGCATGCCTTGTAGGTCACCAACCTCGCGAACACCTCGTCGTTAATTTACAACTCTTTGCTCGCATATCCGAAGCACTTCGGAGATAAGGAAAGAATGGTCAACTGGGCAGGTAAGCGGCAACATGCTAGCGATATCATAGACAAGCTGAACAGTCTCCTAGGATTTTATCTTCACTCCTCATTATTCCCCTCTCCAAAGATAGCCTCGAAAGAGAGCGCATCGGACCCTGCATCTAACGACATACTTTTGCTTGGCCCATTCTGCGGCAAGCCTGCCTGCCAGTTCATCAATGTGACTCCGGGAAAGTCACGAGGTGTCTGCGCGGACGCCTTCATGCAACGCAAAACCACCCTGGTCACCGACGTCGATGCTTACCCTGGCCACATTGCTTGCGACGGCGAGACCAAGAGCGAGATTGTGTGCCCTTTGGTGCTGCGACGTGAAGAAGGGGACGTTGCTCTTGGTGTTCTCGACCTCGATTGCCTCGCATTGGCCGGATTCACAGAAGAAGACAGGACTGGTCTCGAGAAGATTGCAGAGCTTATCGTAGAAGCTTGTAATTGGTAGTACGAGGCATAACGAGTACAAGAAGACATGTAAGGATACCCGCATCATGCTTGCTGCTGCTCTCTTTGCCAAGCGAGAAACTCTTCGTGGAGTTTCGTCTGAGCATCCCACTCTTTCTTGACGTTCTTCGCTTTGTTTTTACTAAGCTCCTTACCCTCGCTGTCCGTAAGCGGCAGGCCGTCCTCGTTCCAGTTGGTGTACGTCCCCTCGGGGACATGAGGCGGCTTGAACATTTCCTGAGGGGGAGTACGACCCTTCTCCAGCTTCTTCAGCCGTTTCTGCCGCTCAGCCTCCACCGCGGCAGCCTTGCGAGCAGCTTTTTCCTGTTCCTGAGCCCGCTTCTCATCACGGGCCTTGATGAGCTCCGCAGGCGGGACGAGCTTCACGAGAGCCTTGCCGTCTGTTGCAATGAGTCAAACGCGTGCGAAGGCAGTTGGAGAACAAGAATCACCTTCTTGGTCGTCAAGTGCTACGCCAAGCGGCACGAGGTCAACGTCCCTGAGCTTGTCGCAGAGTGCCAGTATGTCCCTGAGCGCGGTGTCCCCTCTCGCAATGGCCACCTTGCGGACGCCATCCCTGAACGAGGACAAAGTCCTGAGGTAGGGGATCAAGATTTCCTCCCGCTGAATTAGACCGAATGAATTGGTTTGTGATCGTTCACGTTATGCAGCTCGGACGACTTACGTTGACATTTGCTTCCCCTGAGACATCCTGTCCCCAGCCGATCTCTGTAGACTCGCCTTCGCCCAGCCCAAACATCCGGAGCATCTGTCCTATCCAACGTGCGACCCTTTCCACAACGGAAATCTCGAGATTTGCGCCACGTGAATTGATGTATACGTTAGTCCGTGACACCAAGTCTCGGAGCACATTCAAGGCATCCGGTGTGTTGAACGAGTCGCAAAGCGCAGCATGGAAGCTCGCCTGGCCTTCATGGAATCTGGAGATATACTGTTTCAGAATCACGCAAATGCAGGGTCTGATGCTGTTCATACTTGGCTGTGAGCTCTTTTTCGAGGTCATTGAAGCGATGTGCGCTATCCAACCGGGGTCCCTCGGCCTGTGCCTGGCTCATGAGAGCCTTCACGACTGTAAAGAAGTTCTGTGAACCTAGCAGTCAGCGAGAACACTATGAACACGAGTTTGAGGCTCTTTACGTTGAAGGACGCTTCTATGTTCCGAACCTCTCCCACCATCAGAGACTCCGAGAAGTCGATCTTTGCATTCCAGAATTGTGTCAAGAATGCAAGACGGAGCTGACGCGCAGTATACTTCTGCAGGATCTCCTGTAGGCACGGGGATGAGTCAGATAATGCCGCGTACCTAAAATTCGGGTAACTCACATCGATGGTGATGAAGTTCTTCAGGGATTTGCTCATCTTCAGTCCTTCGATGTGCAGATGGCCGGTATGCAGGAAATAGTTGACCCACGATGAGCAGTTATGATACGCCTGAGGAACGTGTCAGCAAACATGGGATGACCGCCACGCGAGCCGGACACATCTTCGCCAGGTGAGAACGCACCTCAGACTGAGCCATCTCATTATCATGGTGGGGAAATGCGAGATCGCTACCACCGGAGTGGATGTCCATATTGTCACCTAAGATAGCAGACGCCATAACTGAACATTCGATGTGCCAGCCAGGTCGCCCAGGACCCCATGGCGAGGGCCAAGAGGGTTCACCGGGCTTGGATGCTTTCCACAGGGCGAAATCTGCAGCCGAACGACGGCCTGTCGCAGCGGAGAGCGCCCCTGCAACGGCTCGATGAGTATCGCTCAGTGGAGTCACACTTGTCTGGGAAACTTACCTTCGCCCTCTTCCAGGAGCTCTCTATTGCCCTTGCTCCATGGTTCGAGCTTCGCGTAGTCATGATTCTCCGCACTGTCAAAGGCCCATGTATCGAAATACACGCTTCCATCGACAACATAACCGTAACCGTTCTTGATGATGCCTTCCACGAAAGAGACGATCTCCGGTACGTATTCAGTTACGCGTGTGAGCATATCCGGATCCCTGACCCGAAGTCGGCGCATGTCCTTGAAGAATTGGTCTTCCCAATAAGCGGCCAGCGAACGAAAGATGGAGTGGTCTTTGACGGTGGAGCCTTGCTGTGAAATGTGAGTTACATTATTAGCTTGTCTGTGAGAGGCTGACCTCCTTATCTAGTGTCAGGGCGAGTATATCTCGGGATTCATCCACCAACGCCTGAGCAGTCTCTTCTCCCGCCTGCCCATTTTGGAGAGCCTGGCGAGAATTTTGGATGGCGTTATACGCTTTGTTCTGCCAGAGATTGGTCAGATATTCACATACACATTGACGCTGCACGTACAGCGGCCGTGAACTGCATTTCGAATTTTTCGTCACGCTTCAAACACTCGAGCTTCCAAGATTTGTCCTCGCTCTGGAAACGGGAGACAAGATGTGGCCACGTATCTTGCTCGCTTCCTGATGCAGGCCGTTCGCTCTCGGGAAGACCCTTCGCGACCTTCGCATGGACATAGCTCGTCCAGGATGTCAATACAATATCCAGCAGGCCGGGCGTAAGGGTCTTTTGTTGCTGTCTAAATCGCTCAATGAGATGATTCTGGCGGGCTCTGATAATGATCTTGCACACGGAGTATCATAAGTAGCACGCATTGGAGATCACTCGAGTTGCGCACCTTGTCGTCAATGTCAGTGATGTTCATGACAAAATGGACACCATAGCCAAAGTAATCTGTCATTATCCTCCGCAGAACATCTTGCGTAACATAATTTCTGACGAGTCATCAAGTAATGGACGTCGCAGATCGACTCACGACTCACCTCGCATGTCCCATATGCGAAGCATCGTACACCGTGGGCCCGCAATTATACCACTTCACGAGGCGTTCATTGGTAGGGACAAATTCCGTCTAAAACTGGTGTCACAGCATGTGGTCGATTTTAATTGGAGGAGACTAGCCTTGGTGCGGGTGAGCGAGTTATACACTCTGAGGACGGGCTCTTCGACCTTGCGCTCAGGCAATCTCCACGGGGGCTGTTGTACCGCCATCCTTGCGACCTTTAACTGAGAAAAATTCGTGCAAAGTCTAACAGAAATTGGGGTAATGCGAGGGGTAAGCAAGAGGTAGCGACAGGGAGAGAGCATGCGGCTAATTATCACAACTGACTCTTGCTACAACTTCTGATCGAGGATTGCGAACGTGGCAGAGATAAGATAAGATGGGGCTGGGGCCAGATAGATGACTAAGCAGAGCAGGTTTTCACATGCTGTTAGGGCGCATCGATCGAGCGCATCATTGCTAAACACAGAAACGTCGGTGCGGCGATCCTTCCGAGCGACCGGATTCTTCGTGCCACAATCTTGGACCACTCTCGCGATGAGCGTATCGCGCACACCCTAATCTTGCAGTATCGACCATGGTTTTTGATATTCTCGAAGCACTTCAGCACCAATCCGAACTCTTAGACTCGCTCTACGATCAAAATCTCAAAGCAGCAAGGCAGCTTCAATCCACCCTGGAGCATAAGATACTACCCGGTCTCGTGGATGAGGAGGGGTTGGATGAGGCTGACGTAGAGTATGCCGTACAGTGGTTGTATGATATCCGTACGTCGCACTACCCTTGACGGCGCAAATTGAAATAGACCAAATGCTATAGCGTCCATCTTTCGCATCCTAAAGGTAATGTTGCGCTGCCATTCTCGTCAACTTGGAGTAATGGCTGTCCCAGAGACAGAAATTTACTGCCTCTCTTGCTCTCGAGGCACTGCGAACCACGCTGCTGTGGCGTTTACGAACACTGCCTCCGTTGGCCTGCAAGCCTCCATTGCCATGCTTCACATGTTTGCCCTCGCATGCCCACGATCCTTTCGGACATCCGATCGTCGTCATACAGACTGCCAAAGTCCTGTCAGGTGCAGAAGATTTGAAAGCACTGTCTGCCCATACGAGCGAGCTCATGCGGCTGCACCTCGTCGAACTGAACAAGGCGCGGCACAGCTCCGTAAGAGGCGCGCGTCCGATTCTGCAATACGTCGCGCTGCTCGACATCGGGGGTATGTCTCTCAGCGGCTGGGTACGTACACATGAAATTTTGAGGGTAACAATTGTCTGACTGCTGTGCCAAAAAGCAATTTATCGACTTGATGAATTGGCACGTCGTGGAACTATTGCCTCGGTATCCCGGGATGCTAGCGGCAGGTACGGCACATAAACCTGCACCGCTCAATAGGCTCATGTCCACTAGTCTTCATCCTAAATTATTCCTGGACGCACTCGGGGTTTTGGAGTATTGCAAAGTCAGTACCTCCGCGTCTCCCTGTCTGCCCCTCGCGCGTTCCGTGACTAGACATCCCTGACCGCATGTCACAGGAGAATCCTGCCCAAGCACTCGCTGCAGAAAATCTTTTTCGTCACTGCCCCACAGCTGCGACAGCTTCTGTCACCGGCTAATTTGCCCAAAGGTGCACATCGTTCCTGCCCATCCAATGTTTTACAGTCAACTGACGGCATTGCCTGTCAGACTATGGTGGCGACCTGCCGCTTATCGCCGAGATGCCCAGCCCGCTAGAGCAGTACGTTGCCAGCCCGCCTGCAGCTAGTGACTCTCCGGGCGCGCACTGCGCCGAGTATCCTCTTACGGGTAGCATGGTGGACCCTGAGGCGACCAGCCCGGAAGCTACCGCGCCTATACGCACGGTGCTCTCGTCAACCTCGCTGCTGAACCCTTTCTTTGGATATCCAGCCGTGTATGATGCCGCCGCCACGCCTTCGCTGCGCCATGGCAGACGACGAAAGCGGGATCTGGTTCACACCCTTGTCCGTCTCTGGTGGGCACGTTGGGGTGCTCGCGCGGTCTTGATGCTCGTACTGCTTTTGCTGCTACTCGTTGCACGAAGGTGGCGCATACAGTTGCGTGTGATATTCGACCGGCGTCGGCCGACTGTGCTTCCCGTGCGCGCGTTCCTGCCATGGTTCCGTAATGTCTTTTGGCGCACTTACCCACGGGCCGCACTGTATCTCACTCGCGCACATGCGGAGGTGATTGTTCCTAGGCATACATAGATACTGTAATAATAATACGCGCCAGGTTGAATGTAATCAATGGAGCCGATGTCCCATTCAATGCTGTGGATATGCATACAGCCAGTGAAATCCAGGGTACAAGTGTTCTTGGCAGGATATCGTAAAAGGTTGTCATAAGAAATATTCAGGCAGCTGCGGTTACGGCTTGAGTAATGCTCCATGTACGAACACAGCGGACAATACGAACCTTGCCTCCCACACTCTGCTGGGCCTGGTGGGTCGGGCCGTCCCGCTCATTTTCAGGGGCGGCCTGAAAAACGTTAAAAAACCGTTCCCCATCTGGGCGCACCTCAAGGATGCTAGCCGAGTTCCCGCAACGGTAGCAATAATTCGGTGCCGACCATACAGTCGAGAGGTGGTTATCAAACAGCGAGGAGAAACCTTCCATACATAGCTGATGCGCGCGAAGAATGTGCGACATGCTGTTGGTTTCCAGGAACTTGTATACAACCCCGGAGCCGAACGTGTAGCCCGCACCCCTGCAAACTGAATTAACGACCGGGTTGTCAAGCGGGATTATGGCTGCCTACCTAGGTGATATTGCGAAGTCTTCTTTCTCCGCATCAGGGTCAGACCACACCAGGTCAGCCATCGGGCCTTCGTGTGGTATCTCTGGCACCAAGGTGGGTCAAGTTTTCTACCATGACGATATATGTGCGCGTACCTCGGAATCTATCAACGACCTTAATTTGATCTACTGAATGTATGGATGGTGAGAGGCCTGTAGAGATACGCTTAGTGTTGTCTCTAGGGCACAGAAGGAAAGACATACACACCACCGTGCACACAAAAGATCTTGTCGTCAATCACGACAGATAGTGTGAGGAAGTCAAACATATCCGTGAAGTACGTCCACACATGCGAAGATCCGTACTTCCGGACGCATTCCGTGTAGAAGCCATATGTCTGCAGCAGAGAAGAGATGAGCATGGTGTGACCATGATCCCCAATGCATCTGCCCGACCTGAGTGACTGCTCGAGATTCATGGTTTCCCCTGATCAACTGGACACGATCTGGATATCGCAGTTTCAGGCATGTCAAGAGCGATATTGTTTCCACGCTAAAGAGGCCTCGGTCGACATAATCCCCTAAACAAGCAGAACCAAATAAGCTTGTCTAGGCGGCGAAATGGAAGTGTTACGTACCCAGGAAGAGGTAATTTGTATTGGGTGCATATCCTCCTATCCGGAAAATCTCAATGAGGTCGTAAAACTGTCTTGAATGACTGCTCAGAAATCTTGCTCTGCTGTCCCTGGGGGCTGTACTCACCCATGTATGTCACCGACCACCGTGACTGGCGCGCTGACATGTACAACGTTAGATTCCCGCATGAGGACCTCTTTTGTTTTCTCGCATATCTCGCGCAGTAAAGCCTCATGCAGGAGCTGTTTCCGCAGGAGCTGTTGAATGCAGGCGTCAAGGTCGAAGGGTGCCATGACAGTTCAGGAATAAAGAGTAAGAGTTACACAAGCTCACAAATCCGACTCACGCAGTACTGATCTGTTTGTTATTATTTGGCATCAAAGTCGTGTGACGTAGAGAAGCGCTTAAGCTTTCGCTTGTGTGGTCGCCTCGATGTCCTTCGCCTCAGGTCCTAGTCCCGAGCAGCCTTCCTAAGAACCCTACGACATTCGGAGACCTTTCAGGGTCACCCTGAGACGAAGTGTGGGCCCCTTCGCGAAGCTTAGCACTCCCGGTGGAAGAGTACAGGTTCGTCTAGCTTTCGCGAATCTTGAGAACATCACAATACTAGGCCTGCTACCCACGATCATGCTTCTACGTCGGTGCTGAGAAACACGGGTACTATCCCCTTGGAGCTTCAGGCGTCCTAGGCGCGTCTGTCCTGGACATGATCGTCAAATACATCATTTTCTCCCCGACGAAGGCGTGCGTTTCCCGTCACATCGGTAAAATGGTGTCGTACCCACGATTCCGGAGGATGAGTGGACCCTTGGGCCTCAACGTGTAATGCGGTCTTACCGCATGGAGGCTGCTGTATTCGCTGGTTGACAGTTCCACCGACCTTGTCCTCTCAAAGTATCGCCAACCCTGGGCGTTCGATGGCTCTTCCGCGTGAGTTTCTCTGTCGCCTGTGCTGGACCTGATGGCCTGAAGGCTAGCATGGTATGACCATCTGGTCTCAGTCTCGGGGTCAAAAACTGAGCTCATCTTCCCTGATGGCGGCAAGGCAGTCCGCTATTGTGGATGCTGAAAAAGTATGTCGCGTATCCCGCGCGCCAACAGTCGACGTCCTGTATCGCTCGTTCGCATCGCTTGTCTGGTGCATTCATTTCATACGAAGATCGTTCAGCTGGTCAGGAGTCGTTCGACTTCTCGAACTTTAGCCTGGTTTCGGTGCATGTGAGGCGTGCAGTATCAATCATGACGTTCATTAGACTCGCGGAATCCACCGGCGCAGTCTCAGTCTGAACTTGTCACCGGAGTGCTCTGAGTAGAGGAACCTCCGATGCAGGCCTGACGTACAGTGCTTGATCTGTCATACGATTTATGATCAGCGACCAAAGACGTATGAACGCCGTACGGCATTCATATATCCGTTGCCTTAGACAAAAATGTGAAGGGTCATCAATTCATCATTTTCACGAAGGCTCATCGGTCCAGAGAATTGGTGGAAGTTGGAGGAGCGAGTAAAAGGCTGGGCAACGACCTCGGCATACCAGTTTCATCTCATTAGGTTATGTTAGCTGTGTTCTGGTGCACGGATGCAGTGTTTTGGCCATCCTAGCTTGTGACGCCGGCTATCCCCGGTGCTAACCGAGGAGGCGAGTTAAACCTTTCTTGTGAGTAGTCCCGCCTCCAACCAGGCTTTTGCAGATGTTGCCAACCGCGGCATCAGCTCACGCTAGACAGTTCCATGTTCTGGAGGTGTTCCCCGCGGACCATCGTCTCCCTCGTCCGTTTCCGTCGAGTGAATATCCAACTCAGTGTCGCCCATCACATTTCTGTCCCGGAGCGCCTCTCTCGGTGCGATGTGACAGAGGACCTTGTTAGCCTAAATTGTTCTAATGTCGTCGTCGGCACTCTCGTTCCAACAGCCTGACGCTCGGAATTGTGATTCGTGATTCGACAATTCGTCCGCAGCGGGGCTGGTCGATTGGTCCGACTCTGGAGCGCTGCCTCTCGGGACATGCTGCACGCAAACAGCATGACAGCTCGAATGGTCGAAAGGTATAAATGCGCTCCGCCGCAATTGTATGTCGCCAACCAAATCCGACTGCACCACTCGTCCCGACGCCGCTTACCATGGATCCTAACCAGCACTTCTATCAACAACATCAGCAGCAGTCCAATGCTCGCTCGCTCGCGTCCACGACGGACTCGCGTTACCAGGACCCACGGTACCAGCAGTACCCTCAGTCCGGCCAGGCAGTAAGCTACGCCCAGCAGCAGGGACAGGTCTACGGTCAGGGTGCTCAGTCGAATCTGTACTACCAGAACAACCCGAGGGGCATTTCCGGCCAGGCGATCCCATCAAGTCCACCATATCCCGGTGCAGTTCGTGCGTATTGTCTGTTTCATCTACAGCGAATGAAGCTCATATCTCATCAGCACAAATGGCATACGCCGGTGGCCATGCCGGGGCTTCCCCTGAAGCCCTTGGCTATCCATCACACAACCAGACGCCACTCCCGCGTTCGCAGTCGGCGGCAGCAGGGTCTGCGTACCCCCGCGCGTCTTCATATGCCTCTCAGCACCCGCCGTCGTCGTCGTACTCTTCGCAGTATTTCCCGACGCCTGCGCAATCCGTCCAGCTGCCGCATGGCCAATACCACGCGTCGCCGTCGCCCACGCACTACGCCCCACCCGCGTCTCCGGAGATCGAGCGGTTCGCGTGCGAGAAGTGCGACAAGACGTTCTCGCGTGCACACGATCGCAAGCGGCATTACGAGTCACAGCACTCGACGCACCCGTACTTGCATCGTTGCCGCTTCTGCACTAAAGAGTTCAGTCGTGCAGACTCGCTCAAGCGTCATGTAGACAACGGATGCGAGAAGGATCCATCATTCCAGCCCGAGTAGAGCTTGTGCGGCCAGATGTTCTTCTCGCCCCTTTTTTCTTTGCAGTCCGCGGCATTTGAGTTTGAGCGGGTTCTCAATGACATATTGTAGGAATACTCACTAAGCCCCATTTGTCTTGTCGCCGCTTTCCATATGTATACAGCTTTGCGTCCGCTTTGATAGGTCCGTGTACTTTAGCTCCTCCTAGACCCAAATATTGTTCATATGACAAATTTATTACGTCGTCCCGCGCTGTACCCAGTTGAGTTTTCCATTTGCCCTAAGTGACTCGCGATTGCCTAGTGTACTCTCCCAGCCGCGCGCCCCGTTGATGATCAGTCTCGGCACACGCAGTAATATGATCTTGGAGACGCAGAGAAGGCGTTGGTCTTGCCAATGTCGCGAGCACTGGTGTCGTGCATGTTGACCAGAGAGCGAACGGGCGCTCGCCAGCTCGTTCTCAGATCGTCACGACCTTCCCATCAGCCAGGTATCATCGTCACTTTCGATTACGCCAGACGAGCTCCAAACGCAAGCCCCGATTTTATCTCGATGCGCCCCAACGTTCCCGATTGTGTTTGTGTGATGAGAGCTCCTACGGGAGATGGGCAAGCGGATGTCAATAACCGGCAATAAAATCGGCGTCCACAACTCCTGCTCATCGGTCGCTGCGCCTGCTGTTGGGATCCGCCACATCACGACGTTAGCCGATTGTCTGGATAGACCTGGGCTTTAATCAAGGACCTACACACCTTCTGCCGGCGGACACGAATCAAATTATCTCTTAGCGCGGTGGGCCGGCGTGTCGGGCTCCTCGGATGAAGCAAATGTGCATCTTGCTTTGTGACGGCGTTATGACACAGCGGTCATGTCCTGAGGATTACCTGCCCTGTCTACTCTGCTTAGCGGCCCGCTCAACATTCCGAGGGTTGTGCTTGCTGTAGCGTCCCAGGTTTCGGTAATGGCGAAGTCCCGCTGTGCTATCGCAGACCCACATGTACTCCTAGAACTCCGCAATGAGCATGAGTACGAATGCCTCACAAGCAGGGAAGAGAAACCACTTACGCGAGACGCTTCTCGCACGAGAATCTGCGACTGGAGCGGAGTGCGCCAAAGGTCGTACGGCGCAGCGATGCAGTTGGAGCGAAAGAGAGCCGTCTAGAGGGTTCAGACAGCTCTCCCGTGTGCGACAACAACGGAAAATAGTCTCTCACCGGCTCCGCTGCGGTTATTGACAAGGCACAGAACGACAAAAGGCCGCGCGAGGATAGGCCAGGAGAAGTCTTCCTAGCGAGCCTGTCACCTTCGGGATCCGAAGACACTGCGAAGTCATGCAGTCCGCTTTCCATATGATCCCTCCTTTCGGGTGCCTCTGTCTAGGTCCCCAAGCGAGCAGAGGGGCCATGAGAACAAACGGCCAATCCGTCGTCGGGTAGTTCGGGACGAGCAGCGCGTGCTCGAGGTGGTCTCCACTCTATATTCACAGGCGTAGCACGCGACTCCCAGGGCTGTCAGAAAAGTCTTCGAGCCTCATGTGGTCTGTCGGGGGCGCACAAGGATGCTAGTTAGCGCAACAACGATGGCTGACCACGCTGGCAGGCTTACGTTGGATTTCTGCAGAGCACGGCTGACCGGGGTTTAACCATCCGGACAGGGCTGCCAGGATGAATGCGAAAGGCCCCATTTAGTATCATGCGTGAGAGAAGTTTTCTGCATGCTCCGCCTTACTTCTTGATCGTCGGGAATTACGCAGGAACACTGAAGCATCGCTTAGAGGATCAAATCGACTGCTATGAAAACCTACATGCGAGATTGGCTAATGGAAAGCTTGTAGCAAGGCCGTTCGTATGCTGGCGATAAAGTGCACGTCCCTCGAATGCTATCTGAGTTTACACAACATGCGGAGGAGCAAAAGCTTGCGACGGAGTCAGCCGCGGTTCTTTCAGTGACGCGGATGATTATGGCAAGTTTCAATTAGCGACGCGATCTACGCTCGGACGAATAAATAACAACAAACATACATTAGGGGGACAGCCCGTACATGAACCACTGTGAACGAAGCATTGATAAAAGCGAAACAGCATGAGAAGAGCGCAGTTATTCATCGTCTGAAGCTTCATCTTCGTCATCACTGCGCTTTTCCAAGCCTTCGATCTCAACACCGCCGGCCTTACCATCTCCGCCATCGTTCCCCTCCGTCCCCTCATTCTCTTCGCGCGTCTTCTTCATCTTCTCTATTACCTTGTCCGCGCGATTGAATATACCGCCCGTCGGTGCTCCGCATGCTGCGCACTTTGGTGTCTTCGCAAAGCGCTTAATCGCACACGCAGAGTCGAAGAAGTGGCCACAGCGAGTGACTACGGGATCCGTAAATGGCTTTCGGCAGATGAGACATGCAAATGGGATGTCTTCATCGCTTGAGTCATCGTCGGACTCGTCGTCCACTTGCCGCTGAGGGTCCGCGGCGAGCTTGTCGAGCTGCCAACCAGCGAGATCTAGAGCAAATAGAGTTAACGATCCCGTCGGGTCACCACAGCAGAGGTAATACGTACATGTTCCACGATCATGCAAGAATTTGCAAGTGTCGCCGAACCCGCAATACCCCGTCTCTAAATAACAAATTAGCGAATGAAGCTCGGATAGTAGAGGCTAGAACGCACCCTTGTAGTCTTTGCAGACGTCAGGCTGGTAGTCGACAATGGTGACCGTACGTATCGTGCTGCCACTCGCTCGTTGTGGTCCGACACGCATCGCCTTTGGCACCTCCTTGTTCTTCTGTACGTGCTTCTGATATGCTTTCTGCCCTCGGTACAAGCCATCGTCTGGTGCTTCCTCATCATCACTGTCCGACTTTTTCTGCTTCTTTTTTAGCAACTCCTCTGCCTCATCGCCTGCCAGAATCTCGAGTGCTGCATTAACATGAGAGCCTGCCGCGGTGTACTTCACGTCAGGCCCTTCGCGCTCGAGCTCCGCAGTCTCGTCTTCTCCCTCCTGTCGCTGTGATACCGTACGCTTCGTACCTGCGCTGAGCAGGTTACCGGCCTGTTTCCTGGAGGGCAGTATGACCTCGGACTTCGACGAAGACGGGACGGCTACTGTCATTTTGTTTGCTGGCGGCGATGCAGAGCGTTTCCGGTTTGTTGTGGGCCTACTCTTGCCCTTCTTCTTGAAGAAGGGTACCTTGATCTCTGTGCCTGCGTTCTCCATGCTATGCGTCGTGTACGGTAAACGAGGATATGATTAGAGTGAGAAGTGAACCGCGGTATGCGCACCAGCTTCTGGCGGGATATGTGATTATAAGTCCTCGAATTAGTAATCGACTTATCGCTTACTCAGCCATGTGCCCTGCAAAAAGTAAAACGTGCAGCTCACGTAACCCTTTCAGGTATCGCTGCTTTTGGAGAGCATTGTCATTACGTCTGCACAGTTTTTTTTATCCCTATACTCGCTCTGAATGCTCAGTGTAGCGTAACTTAGAAATATTTGTGTGGGCGGGACTATCGGGCGCCTATTTATATGATGACATCGTTGATCGACCTCCTAGTGATCTGCGGGCGTCAACTACAATTCCGTCCTACAATTTCTCCCCGGTTTCTCGTTTATTTCTCGCGTGGAGGACGTTTGGCACGATGGACACCAACACTCCAAAGGGAAACGTTTTCATTCAGTGGCTCAAATCTCAGAGAGCCGCTGTTGACGAAACCGCGATGGGTATCGCCGACATACCGGGATACGGACGCGGTATAGTTGCTCTGCGGGACTTGCCAGTAAGTCTGTCGGCCTTCGTTCTACACGTATAAGTGTTAAACAAAACCTCATTTTTTGCCATTAGAAAGAGCACACCTTGTTCACCATTCCTCGAAATCTCGTCCTGTCGATGCGCACATCGTCCCTTCCTCAAAAATTTGGCCAGGCAGCCTGGAAAAAGTTCGGTTTGCACCAAGGCTGGATTGGCCTCATCCTCTGCATGCTTTGGGAGGAGGCTCAAGGAGTGTCTTCAAAGTGGCATGGATTCTTCCGTATGCTCTCCTAGCCCGACAGACCGCGGTGCTCGTGCTAAACGGTCCCGTAGCTATCCTTCCTGACGGCTTTGACACCCCGATGTTCTGGGACGACGCCGACCTCGAAGAGCTGAAGGGGACAGCCGTGGTAGGTGTGTTCGTCGTTCCCTGTGCCTCATGAACACTGACTGAGCTGCCATTTGTTGTAGATAAGATTGGCAAGGACGATGCCGAAAACAACTTCAAGACCAAACTTCTGCCTGCTGTAGAGGTCTGTATCGGCCGCATGTGTGGTGGGAACAATGCTGACACGACAATAGAGCCGTCCGGACCTCTTCCCCCCGGACACCGTTGCTACGACCTACACGCTTGAGCGTCACCATTTAATGGGCAGCCGCATCCTCTCTCGTAGCTTCCATGTCCTCCGGTGGAAAGCCTATGGCGAACAGCCGGATGAAGAAGCTGAGATAGGCGAGGCCGATGCAAGCTCGGTGTTGAATGTGGATGTTGCGGCTTCTGAGAGCAGTGTCATGGACATTGACGCGTCGAATGACGAGGTCGAGAATACCACCGCAGAAGCGGCCGATAGTGCTGGACATGAGGCGGAAAACGGCAAAGACGATGATGATGATGATGACAGATACGAAGACCCTGCCGATGTCGCAATGGTCCCGATGGCAGACATGTTGAATGGCCGGTTTAATACTGAGACAGTAAGGCGCCCATTTCTGCTGTGGATATCGACTGAGGCATGCGGCAGGCTAGGCTATTTTACGACGACGAGCATGTCCTACGGATGATGACTGTTCATGAGATCAAGGCCGGCGAGCAAATTGTACGTGCAACGCATGGACAAATTCCATCCTGATCGATCTAACTCTCATGGTGTTCCGCAGTGGAACACGTACGGAGACCCGCCGAATTCGGATCTTCTCAGACGTTATGGCTTTATTGACGTGACCAAACTGGAGTCTCCGCTATCCGGCGCAGGCAACCCTGCGGACATCGTCGAGATACCTGCAAACCTTGTCGTAGAAGCGGCGACCAAACACACGACGTCCAAGACTCAGGATCGTGTAGATTGGTGGCTGGAAGAGGCGGAGGACGAGTACGTCTCATATCGTTCCGCTTCTATTCTTCTTTAACTGATCGTCCCTGCAGCGTCTTCGTTGTAGGTACTGATTGCGAGCTTCCGCCGGAAATGGTCTCCCTTGCCCGCCTGCTTTTGCAGCCGAAGGCCGAGTGGGAAAAGACTAAAGCTAAGGGCAAAGTTCCTAAGCCTACTATGGATACGACCATTGCAGCAATCGCCATGGACGTTCTCCAGAGTCGTTTGAAAGAGTACCCAACTTCCGTCGAGGTGAGCGAGTCAACAAAAAGCCTCAGCGTTTGGTCTCACGGCGGACGTAGGAAGATGAGAGGCTCCTCGCCGACGAATCCCAGCTTGGCTTCAACCGAAAAATGGCTGTGACTGTCCGACTTGGTGAAAAGCGCATACTTGCTGGTACGCTTAGAGAGCTGCAGATCAAGTTTAGCAAGGAAGCCAGCAAGCGAAAGCGTGGCACGGACGGTGCGGCCGGCAAGGGCAAAAAAGCACGGCAGTGATTGTGTAAACTTATCGTTCTGCTGCGTCTCAGACTTAAAGCATCGTTAAGTTTGAGGTTTTGTGTGGCGTAATTGCGATGACACAGTGTCGGCTGGCTCGTGCGTGGGAATATCCTCCATGAGGCGTGTTGCTGAGTTTGAATCGGAGTTTGACGAGACCTCGGTTTGCTTGCGATACCAACCTTGTATAAAACGCTCACCGCCCCTTCCCACTCCCCAGCGTCGGGCCCTTCGCCTCCGTAGCAGAAAGTGAGAGTCGTCGCAGTCGTCCCACGCTTCCCCGAAACCGTCGAGGAACGTCATGTCCAATAAAATAGTGGTGAGCTACTCACCGACCATGGTGTCGAGCTATTCGAGAGCATGTCGCTGAGTATATTGTGTGCCGTGTTCCTCCCAAATCCAAAACTTGCCATCGTCAACGTGTTACCGTCGACCACACATGGCTTTTGCATACGGACGTTAGCCTTCTATCTACCGAGCGGTCATTGACGATGTGATCGCCGGTATTAAGTCCGAGTTCGATGAGTACGGCGTCAGCGAGGAGGTCCTCGCCGAACTCCAGCATGTAAGCAGCACTGGGGCTCCCTGCTGCCTGTGTACTTTTATCGTTACTCACTGTTGTTATAGAAATGGGAAGCGAAAGTGATTGCGTCCCATGTCGCGGAGTTTGAGACACCGCCGCAGCAGCCACAAGCCGTTCCCCCACACAACCCGTCGCATCCCTCTGTCCAGGCTCATGGAGCCCACCATCCGCATGCACCTCCCCATCATGCATATCCGCCACATCCTATGCATCCCCAATATTATCCGTATCCGCACCCGGCCCCGCCGCCTCCGCCGGGAGGACCGCAAATAAAGACCGAGCCTATTGATCCTCGCTTTGTGCTCAGCGGACCCAGCATACCGCCTCCCCCTCCTCCGCCGTATAATGTGCAGTCTTTGCCAGGTCCACAGATCCCCCCTCAACCTCCAAGACCTGGTGGACAGGTCATGTCTTTCCCTGCTCCCCCGGCACCGACTGCTAGGTATCAAGCCCCACCGGCTCAGCCCGTCAAGAATGGCGCAACAAATGGTCGGATTCCCCAAACAGATGGTCCCTCCGCGGCTGGCCCTAGTCGCATTCCACAGGCAGACGGCCCATCGTCGTCTTCGGAGTCGGGATCAGCATCGCCGCCACCAGCTACATACGCACCCCGTGGCTCTGCGCATCCTAGTTTGCCGCAGCCGATGCAATCGCGTGCAGACCAAGAAGATGACGACGAGGCCATCAACAGCGATCTAGACGACTCGGATTCTGAGGGCGAGCGGGACGACCCTACGGGTGGTGCGGAAACCGATATTGTTTTCTGTACATATGATAAGGTACGCCTTATATGCGTCGATCATGCTTTTGTCCGCTAACAATTGGACCAGGTGGCTCGCGTCAAAAACAAATGGAAGTGTATTCTCAAGGACGGCATGATCCATGTCAATGGGAAGGATTATCTGTTTGCGAAATGCACCGGGTATGTCTTACCGGCCGTACTTATGATGTGGCGCTAACGCTCGGGGTAGAGAATTTGAGTGGTAGCCGACAGCCACAGGCAAGGACTCTTCGAAGTCTCAATGATCGCTTCTGTCAGCTTCCGCCCTCTTGTTCTATACATGTCAACACTCCACTTATCTTATGTTACACATGCCATGTCCCCCATCTCTGCTTGTCGTATCTAAAGTCGCTATCCTACAAGTCATATCACTCTACGTGTCCTGTCCGATGGCCACATGTAACAACACACTCACATATCACAATATACAGATCTCGCCACTGGAATAGGCCGCTGGCGTGACTTACAGCAGCAGAGGTAGGGTATATGAATTAGCCATGCAAAATGAAGGTCGAAAGCAAACTGGTGACGAAAGCACTGTGCTACTGTACAAAGGTGTAGATTACTTCAGACGTCCGAAGTACAATTTCTCGTTAGGTTGATGACACAGACGTACCGCTACATTCATCCGATACGCATACACAGTCCCGCATTCGAATGTCCAATCATACAGCATCTTAGTGTTTGTGCTCCTCAAACGGGTTTTCCACGTAGTCAAGTTCATCCTCGTCGTCTTCGCTCACGCTTGCTTCTCGAGCGATGGCGTTAGCACCTGATGCTTGCGGTGTGAGCAACGACACGGGACGCTTCGGCAGCAGACCGAATTTCGCTGGAGAGGCTGTCAGTAGAAGAACCGTGAGGAGAGGGCCAGGCAAGACATGCCGGGATTGAGCGGACTGCCGCTCTGAGTCGGTGGCGGCCGAAGTATGTCGCTTGGTGGGGTCGTCACTCTGGGTATTGTCGGCTCAGGCTCAGGCTCAGTAGGAGCAGCTGGGGGTGGTATGGGGCTGTTTGCGACGGACGTGTTCGTTGACGGGGTGGCTAGGTGATCCAACGAGTCTGAGATACCTGGGTTAGCCCGCGTTCACAGAGAGGCATTGTGAGTGGCGCACCGAGGTCGTATCCCCTGATTTCGGCCTTGGGTTGCTCCGCGAGAGGCTTCTCCTCCGACCTGCGCCCGCGCCGTGAGATCTGCTGCCAGCCGTCCTCCTCACCGAGGTCGGGGGAGTCGCCTGGGGCGACAGTGTAGTAGTGCGCGTACGCCTGGCTCGCGGCGTGCCGGTCGACAGGCTGCTGCGTCTCGTGGTAGTAATTCGGGAGGCTCGCGGCGCCGGGCGACGGTTGCTTCTGCGTGGGGGTAGAGCCCCAGGACGGCGGGGGATGTTGTGGCTCCTGCTGCTGTTGCTGCTGGGTGTTCGGACGGGACTGCTGATACTCGTTGATCTTAGCCTTTGCACGGGAGACGATGGAGCTGAAGGTTCGCTTTCCGCCTGGGTGGAGACGATCAGAATGAGTGTATCGACGAATGAGGTGTATGAAGAACTTACTCTCTGCCATCTGGTTCAAAGTTTCCTTGATCTCGTTGAGATCTGGTCCCCCTCCAGAGTTCTGTGGAGATTGTCCTTGGGCCTGCGGCGCCTGATCCTGCTGCGTCTGATCCTGCTGCGTCTGACTGTTGCGGCGCCGCGACCAGCTCTGGCCCCTGGTGCGTTGCTGGCTTTCTGCATGAGCACGGTCGTCCTCTAGCTGAAGCTGCCGTGCAAGGGCCTCATCGAGTTCGAGCGATGACGGCTGTTCTGGGTGTGTTGTTGTACTCTATGGCCATTTGAGTACGCGGGTGCTACGGATAGTGGACGGTGACGTACCTGATGATGTGTCGCCGGGACGTAGGACGGGTCGCTCATCCCAAGAAGCAAGTCGATAGCGGCATCCTGGTCCCCAGAGACAGACTCGAGCACTGTCTGTAGTACGGCGTCGTCAAAGTCGGGGAACATGCTCTTTAACTGCGCGACGGCCGGATTTGCAGGCTCATTAGCGTGCTCCTGAGCTTGCGGCGGAGACCGTTCCTGGTCGTGGTGCTCGGCCTGCTCATCGTATGGCTCAAGAGTATCCATTGTCGGCTGTATGGCGGTGTGAAGATGGTTGCGTGGAGGGAAAGAGGTAAGTAGCTGCTTTGCATAAGTAAGCTGCGGCACTGCGGCGATCGCCGCGCTCATGTCGTCGCGTTACGGGCGCTCCTCCCTCGCGCTTCTGAACACCGTCCTCCTCGTCCCCCAGCGCATCTGCCAGGTCAGACTGTGATTGCGCCGGCATGTTCTTCATTGTGAGTTTACCAAGATAAATTACTTATCTTCGTTTTGAAAGATTGCCTCACTTCACTAGAAAGAACTCACGCACACGATCCTCCTCCATCCATCCTACTTTGGGCCGCGGATGCTCCAGTACCTCGAGTCGAAACTCTATGCCGATGTCGAGGGAACATGTTCTGGACAATTTGGATACATCATTGCGGTCGTAACTATTCTGAATATTGGCGAAGGCATGGTGCTGCCAGGAAGTGGACAGGCGGAGTTCATTACGCGGTACCGAGCCATTGTGTTCAAACCGTTTAAGGGTGAGGTGGTGGATGGTGTTGTGAATAACGTCAACAAGGTACGTCACGACCTGTAGCACTTGAGTACACATCGTCAACGCCTTCCCTGCTTTGTAGATGGGCTTCTTCGCGGACGTCGGACCGCTAACTGTCTTCGTGTCTCACCAAGTGTGTACATCTCGTTCGAAAACGTTTCAACCCAGACAAATCTCACATGTTTAGCTCATACATCCCGACATGAAATTCGACCCCAATTCAAATCCACCTTCGTTTGCTTCGGACGAGCAGGTACGTGGCTTATCCTACGGGTGGAGCGCTGGATACCTTGACTTCGCTGCCCATTCTAGATTATCGAGAAGAACACGAAGGTCCGACTGAAAATTGTGGGAACCCGTGTGGATGCGACGGAAATTGTGCGTTGCGTTATATATACATTCCATTACGAAACACTGAGACTTGTTCGCAGTTCGCTATTGGGACAATAAAAGAAGACCACCTGGGTGTTATTGAATGATGCCTCAGCTCCTCTCGTGTTCACTCACTTGCATACTTTGCTTTCGAAACCTACAATTGCTGTGTATCATTGTGTATTTTCAAATGCTATCGACTGCGCGAGCGCGCTCCACTCCATTTGTTGCTCCACGTCTTGGTGCCACAGCATCCATTGACCCACAGTCTCACTGTTGGCTGTGGCTCTTCCCCTGATAAGCCGCCTTTCTCCTTGATAGTGCTCCACTGACGTCTAACCCAGTGAAGAACTTATAAGGAAGACGGGGGCTCACCTTACTCACCAACTCGTCTGCGAACCCTTACCAGCACATCTATATCTTTAGCGGCTAATCAACGAGCATAGTATGCATCTCTACTCTTCTGCGGCTAATTGAGTCTCACCGTCTTACTAGATGCCGCTGTTCAAATCGCACAACAACTCTCCGCCGCCGCCATCACCTCCGCAGCAGTCGCCTCCACCAACCCGTTCCCGCTCCATCTTCTCGCGCAACCGCGACACCTCGCCTAACGATGGCTACAACAACGGCAACAACGGCTATAACAACAACAACAACAACAACAATACCAACGACAACTACAGCACCACCGCCTCGAGCCGCTCTGGTGGATTCTTTAGCCGCAGACGTTCCTCCTCGTCGGACCCAGACCTCAGAAACGATTCGTCTATCGTTGCGGCGCGCCAGAAGGTCGGCGACGCAGAGGCCCGTGAGCGAGACGCGGACTGGGCGCTGGGGCAGGCGAGATCTGCTGTCCGTGAAGCAAGGGAGCATGTGAGGATGCTAGAGCAGGAAACTCTCGAGGAGTAAGTTTGGGCTTGAGCATACAAGCTGAAACAATCAGCTTACATCTGTTTGTGCAGGGCGAGGCGTGCGAAGCTCAAGCAAGCCGAGGCCAAGAGCGTCAGCAAGAGCGCCAGGGGCCTTGGTCGCCATGGTTGAGCACTTAGACTTCTCATCCTCTTCACTTGCATTCATCATCGCTGCCGGGTAGGCCACTAGCCTATGATACCTATGCCGCTCTCTTGCAGCTTAATGTCCTTCACTTTTATTTTATTCAAGTTGTCCACCATGTCTGGAACGTTATATCGTAGTGACGTCATAATTGACTACCTGACATTCATGAAAATTCTTTTCCTATTTTCTTGTTTTGATAATACCCTGCTCTGCGCTTCGTTTTTTTCATATGGAAGGTCGTGTGGACCGTCAGGGAAGGCTGTTCGACCTCTCCCTTCCAGATTTAGTAACTCAAGACTTTGTGGCGCGCTGTGACCTCAGAGGTGATATGTACATATCATGGCTATAACCCCAGCACATAGCTGCTGAAGAGTGGAAAGTTATATAGATATGGTATAATTTTCTTTCGAGGACAAACCTCTACATCGATGAGCTAGCGAACCTTGGACTAGTCACGGTCATTCATCACATCGTTACGCGTTACCGGAGAATACCGGTCACACCCGCCGACGTCAACTTGGCCGCAAGCGTCGTTGTACGGAGCAGCCTTCGCTTTCCTCTGCCGCCTTTCGTCCTCCGATACCTTGCGAGGCACACACGTTATATCATCATGAGAGCTGCAAACATAGCTCTGTGGGCTGTTTGCCTCATCAGCCCCGCATACGCGGTTACAGTCTACCTCCATCCTCCGCTGGCTGCGCCCGTACCAGCGGAACTTGATGCAAGACATGCAAGTCTCGTGCTCGCTAAACACTTCGGACTGGAGAAATTTGAAAGTGTGGGAAGTGGAGCTGGTCTTTGGAATGGTGTGTTGCAGGAGCAGGAGGCTGTTGTTGGAAGTGCGCCCAAGGATGCACTTCTAGTAACCCTGAGTGATGAGGATGCACGAGGTACGCTCTGCAGGACTTTGAATGGCTAAGTATACTAAAAAAGGATGCCGTACTCGCAGCTATTCTTCCATTCAACATGAAACCTACGTTTGAACTGCCCAGTCCGCCAATGGACACGCTCTACCCTCTGATTCAGACATACATTCACCGTGCTGCAGAGCTGTACACCAACGTCTTCCCAGAATTTTTCTCTCCCTCCTCGCAAACAAGAACACGTTTCCTCGATATTTTCTCCGCACCTACGGAAGCCAACCGCGCCTTCATCTCTTCCGTGTCATCTCTCGTCGACTACCTCGATGCCGAGCCCACAAGCGCGTCTGGCTACGCCAACTTCGCTGCATTGGAGCTCAAAGGCCTGAAGGAACTCGCAGAAGAGCACGGCCAAGACTCTGAGGCATACCAGATTGCACTTAAGACCCTGCAGGCGGTGTTCGCCAGCGCGATGGAGCGCCAAGACCTCACGCTCGCGGTCCTGACATTCTCGCCGTCGTCCTCGCTCTCGAAGCGCGCTGACGAACCACAGTCGCCCCTTGCACCCCCTGTCTTGCCGCCCTCTGCGCCCATCAGCGCAGTCTCGACGTGCTTCCAGACCTCCGACGCGTGCGCGAACTCCACCGACAGCTGCAGCGGCCATGGCGAGTGTGCTGCGGCGACAAAGCTCGGCAGGACCTGCTACATCTGCGCCTGTGCAGCAACCGTAAATGAGAAGGGACTCACTGAGGAGTGGGCTGGCGAGGCGTGCGAGCGGAAAGACATTAGCGGGTGAGTCGCCTAGCTATCTCTACCCGAACTATGCTAATCATGTGCCGATCAGACCGTTCGTGCTACTTGGCGGAACTGTCATTGCTCTTATTTTGCTTGTCGGAGGCTCCATAGGCTTGCTCACTGCCGTCGGCTCTCAGGAGCTGCCCAGCACGCTTACTGGCGCTGTCGCTGGAGGCCACAAGAGGGACTAACTGTCTGCTGTATGCTATCCGCTGTGTCACATTTACATGCATGGACTGTCAAAGCAATTGATTCGATATTTTTACATACTCCCCGTCATTCGTTATGCGCGACTCCACCTCTTCAATATAGCCTCTCTTGGGTGAGTTTTCTATTACAGTCTAATTCTCGCCTGTTCCTGACGGTAGTTTTGGCGCTATGCTTAGCGTATCGTGAACGCGAATCGACCGTCATGTCTTGATGTTGCGTGCCACCCTGTTCAGCGTCGACAATAGTGGCTCGTTGCGAGGCGGTTGATCAGGGCGGCCATTAATCACACATAGCCGTTCTTACTGTAAGATCCCGCGCCATCCCATTCCATTGCCGAGGGACAACGTGCAGCTCAAAGCTTAAGCCACACCACATGTTGCGCGCTTGAAAAGGCGAGCTTTGTCGCCGCGCACACTTGGTTCCTCGCGCTTACAACCTAATCTGCGTCCCTGTCGCTGCCTCGCGGCGTACGCGCTCTGTCGCTGAGTGCGGAGTTAGCTCCCGCCCGGCGGTCCGTATCGGTCTCCAGGGACGATATATGTCTTGTGTACGTGCACTGCCGGCATTATTTGCGCCACCTGATGCGGCGGGACGGGTTTGATCGAAGAGCTTGGAGGCGCAACTGCTGCTCCGTACAGGATGCGAGCTCGCTTCGCCCGCCGCAGTACAAGGTCCCAACCCTGGAGCCTTGTTTCCGATATGCGTGCTCACGTCGTGCGCCTGGCACGCCCGTCTGGTGGGCTGGGGGCGTGGGTGGACTTTCCTTCCTGGGATATGTGTTTCGTCTCGTGGCGCACATGCTTTTGCAGACCCATATATAGCACCTTGGCTTGCGGCTGGGGTGTGCGTACGCCGACATCTTCACGACCGTCTCCTCCCTCCCGCCAGGCTTCCATTCAGCATGCACATTAGCCTTCCATTCCGCTCTGCCCCGTCCGCAGAGTTCGTATACCCGCACCTCGATAGTTTGCAGCACGTGTGGAAGCGTGTCTACGAGCATGTTATGGGCCGCGGTGACACCTACAAGAGAGAGGCGTTTAATGGCATGCATGACGAGAGTAGGATCATCGATCCTGAGATATATGCAGACCTACGGGTTAGCCACGATACGTACGCCCTACCTCCATCTCGTGAGGCAAATAACCTGCGTATTAACTGTGCATTGTTAGATTGAGCTTTGAACGGGACAGTCTAATGGAGACACTTGATGACCCCACGAACATTTCCGCAGAGCTCGTTTCAGAAGCATACGCATATAAATGTAAAGCAAAGCTGCTTCACAAAGATGTATTAGTGGGTGGATTCTCCTCGCTTTCAGCTTGAAGACCTAATGACGTTTATCGTTACCGCAGAAGGCATTGGAAGCTGCGGAGAGAAAGCCAACGCCCATGTCGTCCCCGCCAAACACGCTGAGACTGTTCAAATTTCCGGACGAGTCGGCCACATCTGTGACGGACTCGTCGCTGTACGGTTATGACATCGATTTGGTGAAACCGAGGCTTTGAGGCCGAGTCGGAGTCGAAACTGCTTTCTTGCGGGTCCTGAAAGTTGTATACTATGACTGCCATGATAATGTATGGATCCATCCTGACGAACTATTACTTGCCGGCGGAACACTGGTCATTGGCTCGGGTCTTTTTCATTACTTGATGGATGTGTGTTTCTCGGAGTCCGGTCCATGCACCGGGAGCGTTGAACCTGAGCCTGAGGCGAGGCCCTTGGCACATTGGCCCCTCGCAACGAGTCTCATGGCCCTGCCCTCCTCAACTGCCTGATCCAACTGACCGCATCTGTTACATCATCAGCTCTCCGCGACTAGTACTGCCTCTCAAGCTTGCAGTTCGGGTTTTTGGCAAGTTGAACCCGTTCCCAGGGAACTGGCGCCGAGCTGCTAAGCGTGCTTTTTGTTTTCCGCCTCACCGGTCTCCCGTCGCTCTCTCTCTTGGTCTCGAACATGCCCTGAGAAATTAACGAGATGCTACCCCTACCATCAGCCAAGTCGATGGTTGGGTCGTTCATCGCCCCGATATTCGCATCGTATCGTCGACATCATCGATCTTAGACGCGTTGTTCTCGGTGCCCATACTCGGCTCACTGGGAATTCAAAGCTGTCCTGGCGACGGTATTGTGTTCGTCGATGGCACGGTATCCATGATGCCTTCAGCAACGGATAAACAAGGCAAGATAAGGACGTATATGAAGAAACACTGTTAGTCGCCCCTCAGGTCAAACTGACCTGACGCTACCCATCTCTAACCGACTCGATCATGCCCCGGCGAAGGGACTCCCTAGCCATGCAGGCTGTGGGTACCTTCCTTCACGAGATAGACGTTGCCGCCAAGGGACCTCGCGCGATTAGTCGGCTCGTCGCTGGATGGCTTCCTGAAGGACCCAAACTGTCCTCTTCGCCTGGCACGGCGCTCAAGTCGAAGCGGAAGAGCAGTTCGATACCCATCCTATGGCACAGGGTCATATACGATAGCATCAAGGATAGGTTCGTGGAACAGGGCGAAGAGCATCTCAGGTGTGGTGCTTGGGACCTGATCGAGAGCGAGCGCAAGGTGTATACGTCTAAAGACTGCCCGACCACTTTGGCGGATATGCACAAAGAGTGAGCTATAGTTTCCAGTCCAAATAAATACTATGCTAACGTAACGTGAATAGAGTGTCTGCCTGCAGAGACTCACTCTTTACTGTAATCGCCGCCTCCAAGCGTCGCCGCTCCTCTGAGGTCTTCATGGAGGCTTGGAGGTTCAAGCGCGAAGCGGAATACTTTCACAGGACGGTCAAAGTGCGTGCAAATAGGTTGATCCTAAAAAACCCACTAACTGCTGTCCTTCAGGAGGAAACTGGCATTTGTGCCGATATGGGCACTCGAGGACCACGCATCATAGGTACACAACCTTCATACCACCACCCGTCCCGCCATACTTCCTCCGACTCGCTCACCGTCCCACTCATTGGCGTTAACCCGCCTTCGCCTGCGCCGGAAGAGCCAGGTTCAGATGTGGCCGGCGCCTTCGACTCCTTTAATCCCCACACACCTCTCAGCTCCGACTACGACCGGCGCAGCCCTCACCACGAAGATTTCTTCTCCCAAACGCCTGATTCGCCAAACGGCGCTTTGTACGTCCTTCCATTTGGGTGTGCACAGGGATCATGTGAGTCGTTCGTTTGGCTGTTAGTGCCGCAGTGTAACCGACTGTTATCTAGGTGTAGACGATGAGACGTCATGCAGTTTCCCGGAACCCGTATTAAAGGCAGAGGACCACGCAGTCTTATCGACAATGAACACTTTTGGTTCTTCTGCGGAGCTCACCACTGCAACCTCTGCTGAAAGATCTCTGAACGTCAATGTCGACGATGAGGCGCAAGAGGTCGACGCAAACTTGGACAGCGAAGGTGAAGCACTTGCTCCATTCTATCGTCAGGTACACTGATCCCTTATGAACAGATGAGCTCGACAAGGAGCTTCTCACGGCGGAAATCAAAGTCCGCACGCCATCTATCTCCAGCGCAAGCTACGAGAGAAGTGCCTTCGCAATGCAGCCTATTCAGCTCCCCACTCTCCCCGCCGAGCTCATGTACACGGATCCTCATGAGTACGTCGACAGGATGCTTGATAGTCATGGAGAAGATCGTACGTCTTTAATTCCCAGCTGTCCTCGATCCCAGCTTATACGTGACCAATCTGCAGCGCGGCGGTACTGGGAAGTACCTTTTAGCCGACTGTCGCCTCCTGATGTGCTCCACATTGCCGATACACTAGCAAGCCAAGGCATCGAGGCTGCCATTGACCTGATAGAGCAATATTCTACCTGGGTTCGCAACTGGCTGGCGCAACAGAACTACGGGAACGATCAGTCTTCGGAGACAGAGACACGGTCTATCACCTCTGAGCTTGTTTCCCCCAGCGACACCATGGTCGAGGGCTCGCCGCGCCGCGCCCTGGCTGGCGCAGTGGGCGATATCCCTGTACCTCTCCAACCGCAGATCTTGTCCGCCCTGGAAGCACTCTCGGATCTCGAGTTCTTCGCTCTTGGTCCCGCAATGTCCACCCCGAAATTTGACGACACAGCGGACGATGCAGAGGCGACGCCGGACGACACAGACTCGGTCGTCGCGTGGCCGTACGGCCCGTCGCGCTCGACAACGCTCGACAACCCCGCCGTCGGCGTGGCGCCTGACGGGCACCTCGGTGACCAGTTCGCTGCGATGATGATGCAGCTGCCCGCTCGCGTGTCTGCGCCGCAGTCTGGAGCCTGCACACCCGTGGGACATGACATTGTCCCGCCGTGCACGGACCGCCGAGTGATCGAGTTCGTGGGCCTGAAGGCAGAGCAGCCTAGGCTCCTTTCCATTCGATCGTCTCCTCGTGTCAAGGCTACACCGCTTCATTTTTAGATTGTTGGACAGCCGGATGCATATCAATTAACTGACAAGGTTACGACTGAATGACCGGACTGACCAGTGGATACCACAGCTCTGGATAATTATGTGCTTTCTTGACCAAGGACACTCTTGTTCCCCCTGTATGCCCTGAACTAAACGACATCCTCAGTGCTTGTGTATGTATGCTTACGGACTTGTATTTTCCATTACTGCTTGTACGAGAAATCTCATGTACAAATCCCAGTATGTTGTAATAAAAACCCGTTGAGGTCAGTGACTTGCTCCGTCCGCTTGCGCACTTCACTTACTCTGAGAATAGAAACGTACATAAATTTGCAGATAAGAACGAGAGCGGAATGGAGTTCGCCTCTTGCACGATCCGACAGATCGTCGTCACAGAAACACACGGACGCAAAGTGAGAAAAGAAAAAGGGCATACCATTCCAAACGGAGGGTTCATCGCTACGGCAAGACTTTGATTCCAGTCTTCGGATATAATCCCCCCAATGTTAGCTCAGCAACCATGGTGCGTCGCCAACGGTCTTGTATGGGACCAATAACTGATTTTTGCCACCATCCAGCGGCCTGAGATTAGCATGTGGCTTGATGACGCGTTCACTGCGACATTCGACACCGGTGGTAGTACTTTCTAGGTCTGGGATGTTCTATATGTCTCACACAGTGCTCCTCTAACGCTGTCTTCGATATTTACTCGAAATTCTGCTGCGACGAAATGCAAGAATGAGGCTTGGTGATAAAAGGCAAAGACACTTGAGATTGGTTGCCGTTAGGAGAGCTGTGGGCCGGTTAAGCCATAGGCTTAACGAGTGATGGAGGACATACTACTATGCTTAGTCGGGAATGGTATCGGCAAATAAATATATTTTGAAACCTACAGACGACGTTCTGAATGAATAAATCGCTCCATTCCGCTTTCGAATCGAGTGCCACCTGCGGGCAGGGTGGAGAGCTTAGCAGGTAGCTTAGTTGACAGCTTTGGCCGGCCCTGGGCGTCCGATGGCTCTTCCGTACGAGGGTCTTTGCTGCCCTGTGCTGGGCCTGGGGGCCTGAAGGCTAACATGATATGACCGTCTGGTCTCAGTTCCAGAGGTCAAAGGCTGCGCTCATAATCCCTGATGACGGCATGTAGGCGTTTGCTGTTACCGGTATTCAAAGAAGTGTGGCGCGTATATCACCATTTCAACAAGAGCTTCTCATTAGGTCATGTTAGCTGTGTTATGGTGTGTGGACGTGGCAGTGCTTGTCCATTTCCATCTTCTAGATGGCCGTCCTTCCTTCCTGCGAGTCAGTTTCTGTGAATAGCCGACTCAATGTTGCCCTGCCTCGGAGTGCCTCTCTCAGAGCGACCGTGATAGAGCTATGGGAGGGTACAGACATCTCATAACCTTGATTATTCTATCCGAATCGCCGTTGGCAGGTTGTTGGAATGAGAGCGGCACTCTCGTCCAGTTCTAACAGCGAGTTTCACCCAAACTTGCACTATCGCTTCGTCAAGAAGACTCCCAATCGATGCATCCGGTGACCCATCAGCAGCTTGTCCTGCCTGTCCATCCCCTCCCACGGAGAGCGATTCGTCCCGGTTTGCAGGATCTACCAAACGTCGCATATATCCACCCAGGCTACGTCGTCATGACTCGCGAGCGGAACCAATGAGTTCTCGTGTATCGGTATCGGGGGCGTCAGTCTGTTGAGTGCGTGCGAGGGACGGCTTCATGACTCCGATGGAGACAAGGATGAGCTCTTTTCCTCTGATGTGCCAAGGTCTCGTTCTGCATTGCGGTGTGTACGGTTCTCCGAACCCAGCGACCGCTCTTCCTTGGTGACTGAATGGACATCTTGCCCCCCCCTGACCCGCGGATATGAGCCGTACCGGCGCACGAAAATTGTACAGCGCACCTGCAGAGGTACCTATGACCCCGCGCCACAGCATAAGGTCGAGTACACCGCAGAGGTCATGATTGCGTTCTGGAGGCAGGTAAGCCCCGTCGCAAGATCGACACTGCATGCGCTGGCATGTCGTTCGCGTTCTGTCGCTGAGAATTAGGACGATAAACGACTATGACGACACGTTCGCGTTCGGTCCCGCTGGGATTCAGTTGCAGGATCCATGCCCGCTCGAGCTTCGCCGGCACGCCAAGACTCTCTGAGACCCTTTCCCTGGTTATGCCATGCGGCCGTCGAGCGTGACCATCCTTGCCGAGGTCTGTTATCCAAGTCAGTGTCACACTGCTCAGACCACCAGAAGTTACTCACGCGTTTATCTTCAATTTAACCGTCGGTCCGCCAACGCCAGCAAGTTCACTTTGATCTGGTGGGGGGCTGGTCTTGGTTTCTCGTAGCCTCACGAGACCTGAGTCATCACGCTTTGTTTCTTCCGCCGTCATGCTAGCGTTGGGCGGACCCGAGATGATACTTGTCGTAGTTTAGACCAACTCGGCTTGGCAGCGATAATGATTGATTTCACACGATGTTTCTGGTCTCGTGTTTCTCCCTTCTATATTCAGCTATCTGTTCTTGTAAATCAGAAAACTAACTTACGTGGCTGCTTTGCTTTACATCCGAGGTCATCTGAACAACGAATCGCTGCTTGTCTTCGGCGCCCACAATGCGTCGGCGATCAATTGATGCGTCCTCCACCGTGATATAGGGGTGAGCCTATCTTTGTCATGGGGGCTTTGCAAAGCGAAGGCAAGCACTTAAAAGCGCCGGCGTCCAGTCAGATGACGTGGGCGTCTCTTTCACTTCTGTATACTCTTTGCCGTGCCAGCACTACACAGAACAAGAAACGCGACACGCTCGATAGTGCCTGACGCAAACGGGCGACGTGTAATGCGGGTCAGGACCTCGTACCTGAGACGCGAAATTTATCACAAAACCACCCATGTTGGCCACGCCTGATCAAACCGCTCCCGAGAGAGAGAATCGTTGCGCAGAAGATGCGAGAGAAGTGAGTCATAAAGCTTTATAAGCTTGAGCTCACGCCTCGATGGTATGGTCGTCGCTGCAGCTGTTATCTTCGACGTGTCCCGTGAATGGAGGCAGCGCGGATAGAGTGTGTTCTGGTGCACGTCCGCAGTGAGCGCACACCAGGCCGAAGGGAAAGTGCTCTAGGACGAACCCTAACGCCTAAGTAGTCGATCCACGGTATAGGAAAAGCACGCATCGTTCCGGTATGTCAAACCAAACCGTCAACAGTGTACCACAACTTTCAACTATAATTCGTTGTCTGCAGCGACCATGTCCGGGCGATCGACCCTTCCAGCTGTCTATGTCGACGACGAATGCCCGATATGCAAAGAGGATTTCGACGAGAACCACCGAAGGTATTGCATCCCCTGTGGTCATGTCTTCTGTCGCGAGTGAGTAGCTCTCTTTTTACTTCGATAGGGGCTAAGTACCATGTTGCACTACTAGCTGTCTCGATCGGGTCGACCCACGAGTGTGTCCAAACTGCCGTGCTGAATTCTCAGAAGATGAGATCGAGTGTTTAGACAAAGAGGAAGATGATTGGTCGCCGTGTGATGAAGAGCGCGAGGAGGATAGGGCGGTATGGCGTGAGCTCGGGTGGCAGGAAGACGAGGTCGAAGAAGAGGAAGAGCCGGATGAGGATGATGATGATTGGGCGCCATCCGATGGAGAGCGCGAGGAGGACAGGGCGGCATGGCGGGAGCTTCGGCAGCGCCAACGAGGAGACGGAGAAGACTCGGACTCGGACTCAGACTCAGACTAAGCATGGGTGACATCAGAAACTACCAGTACACAATGCTGCCGTGAGACGCAGGCCGGGATGCCAGAGTTTTTCATCGCCACATAGCTTGATGCATCAGCTATACAGTAGCCATCTCCATATGCAAGTATGTCCACGAATAGGGGCCAGTCAAACATCTTAATCTCCATTCCAGTTATGTTACTTCATTCCACAAGGACAACATGCGAGAGCCAAGTGGACAGGCTAGGCATTCCTAAAATTACAGCAAGTGCATAATCCTAGTCAGAGAAAGAAGACAAGTGACAATTAAGCGACAACGAAGCGCGACGAACTGAGAGGAATTCTGACAAATTCCCCTAAACGAGCGACTTCCCCCGAGCGTACGCTTCCATGCAATGCACCATGGGATAATATACGCCTTGAATTTCAGCTGGCTCAAGATACGCGTGGAAAGAGCCAGGCATCGACTGCAACAGAACAACTTGAATGCGCGGACTTTAAGCGAGCGATGACAGAAACTCACAGAGAGATAATCAGCACGCTCAACGTTACGCAGCAGGTCATTGCACGCGATCGAGGTCAAGTGCCACGCGTCCTCGAAGCCAGTGAGTTTCTCGGCGATCTCTTCAGCGGCAGCCTTCACGTCGTGCAGCTCACCCTTCGAGGAGGAGCCCGAGGGTGGAGGAGCTGAGTGCACAGACGACTAATCAGAACTACCTCGCCACATGTGGCTGTAAGGGACTTGCCTATAACGATGCTAACATCCATGTGCCTCACAAATGGGCCTGAAGGGCTGCGTATCAGAGCCGGACGAATGGAGTATAATAATCCTGTGTTCAAGAGCTCACCGCAAGAGAAGCGCATCTCCTTAGCGCAAGAGAGTACGCTTCGGAATGCATTAATGATGGAAGTAAGCAGCATTCGTAGACCCTGAATAAATGCCAGTGAGCTTGCCTTCAGACCGTACATAATCATTATCATACCTTCTCAATGGCATTGTAAACCCTACAGCCATTATGGACATTCAGATCTGATAACGTGTCGGTGCCGTCGAGACTCACCACTCCACACCAGACTTCAGCGTCTGGAGCCAACCACTCTCGGCTTCCTTGAGGGTCCTCTCAACTTTCGTGGGAAATAGTTCGACTTCCCTTGCAAGCTCGTCAAAGTTTTCGGAGATCTGCCTAGCCGATTCCTTGTGTCCTGGGATACCCTACCAGGACAATTTGCCCTCAGCTTATCCCGCACTCGTATCAAATGGCGCATACCTCCATGAAGTTGGTGATTATAGCTTTCTGTTCTTCCGTCGTTGCCCGGCCGTTAGACAGAGGGATGAGAACGCCGGCATAGTCTGATGCAGGACAGAACTCAACCGTATGTCAGAGTAATGTTCAGGAGGACTCACGCTTGAGAAAGCTCGCGCACGCGCTTGCGTTGTGCTGCGAATCTCGGTACAGCTTCTTGTGTTTCTAACACCCGTACTCCTGAGTCTTCTGCTGGAGATGCGTCCCCAAGTCGCTCACCTTGGACAACGCATCCCACTCTTTCGCCAGCATGTGCTCACCGCCAATCTTAGGCGACGCCTCGAGCTCCGTGGCGACCTTCATGAATAGGATCCGGATCTCGACGTGCTGGCGGGTGAGCTGCGCAAACGAGGCCTGAAGGTCGTGCTTGCGCGCTGCGTCCGACTCGTCGTATGGCGGCGGCGGGGATGATGCGTTCGACCTCATTTTATGCTGGACGAGCTGGACAACCTGTACGTGGGAGAGAACAAGCGAGTGTACGGCATTTCAATACCATGGCGCTCCGCCGTATATGGCAGAAGCTAAATGGGCAGGTCAGTGTCCAAATTTGGCAGGCGTAGTATTAATCCCAACGGCAAACGGTAACGAGACAAATCCTACTAGCGTGCACTACATTGAAGAACGTTCGCGACCTCAAAAATCGAATTATTAAATGCTGTGCATTGCTTGCCCTGAGATCCTAACTATATATAACTTGGTTCTGTTCCGGATCATAGTATGCTGAGTACTATCTAATCGACAAGCTGCGTCCCTAAGCGACGTCGGGGACTCCATGAATGCTGATGACACTCAGGAGCAGTAGACAGTCTGCAAACATTTCCGGTACGCACCGCTTCATACAGACAAAATACTCCTGTTCTCGTTTACGCGCTTGCTGGCTCCTTCGGAGAAGCTCCTGGATGATTTCTGTCGTGTTGGAACGAGCTGTTACGAATTTGTTCTTAGAACCCAAAGAACCTCGTGGAGAGGTACATCCGTTCCTGTATCGTTGCGAGACTCTTGGTTTTGGACGAAGTACGGGAATATTGGCGTGCTCTAACGCGAGGTAGTGCGATACTTAGGTTTCTATGCGATTGAGAAAGCTGAAACACCCGCTCGCTTGAGCTGAGAATTGTGGTGCAATATCCGATGTTTCTATTCAGCCCGCATGAGCACTCAACCCAGGATACCCGAGCCCGGTATCACTAGCCTTCACCAACGTGTCCCGCTCCTTCGCTAACATATGTTTGCTGCCATTCTTAGAGGCGGCCTCGAGCTTCCTTGAACAGAACTTGAACCTCGTGCTTGCACACGAGCTCTACGAACGAAGCCCAGGCCCGTAGCAAGAGTGGCATAAATAGCGTCTTCACTGCTCCTTAGCGACGCAAGAGATCAATGGAGAGCCACTAGTCTATGCGGCAGTCGCATTGCACCGGTGTGTGATATAACGATGCCGTTGAGGCAATCGTTCGCGGGTTTGTCACTATATACATTATCTCAGTCACATCTATTGGTCAGCCGAGCAACAAGTCCAAGTGAGATCCAAGCATAAGTTACCAGCTAAATATCCTAGCGGTACGATATGATAACGTCTAGAACGGAGTCACGCTTTCCTCGTGCACCAGCTTGTGTAGGAGCCGGTTCGCCATCTCAAACCCAAGGAAGGTCGCACCATTGGCAAATGGCGACCTTTGACGATGTTGAGCAACAACGAAGTGCAGCTAAAGGTGGGAGACATACCTGATGACAGTTGGACCAAGACCGCGCACAAACGCCCCTGGGCCTTCTGTTCGCCACACTTTCCGCACGCAGTCGAGCATCGAAGTATACTTCTGGCCGTCCGCGGGCGAGAACCCATCGGTCTGCATGCGAGACTTGATCATGTCTATTGGGTATATGACCGCCCAAAGCTGTACCAGGGTCAGCATAACCGAACCCTGGACTCATATGTGCGACGGTGACACGTACGGCATAGCCCGCAGCAGCACCGAATAGAACGGTCTTGGCGGGGTGGACCTGGTCGCGTGCAATCTGTTTCGTCGCCATTTCCCGTTGCATGAGCTTCTCGTACGCCCAGAAATAAACGGCATAGCCGCTGCCCTCGCGCCAGAGAGTAGCGACCTGACCCTTGTAGATGCCAGCAATGCCACGTTTCGCGTGGATCTTCTTGATGGCGTCCCACGGGCCTTTATATTCCGGATTTGTCGCTGACTGTGTCTGCAGACCTACAAGCCTCGTTGAGTCCAACAACCCAGAAGACGCGGCCGGCCGCAACTTACGGATACGGATGTGCTCGACCGGACCTGAGACAATGCCGTTCGCGAGGCCAGCAAACGCACCTGAGGCCAGGAGCTGTGGGCCAGTGAGAAGAATACCGCGTGGACCTCCTATGCCGCTCTCAAGGTTGCGCTTCGCGAAGAGACGTTTCGAGTACTCCATGGCGCCGAATTGGATGGAGACACAGACACCGATACCGAGCAGCGGTGTCAAAGTACCCTGTAATACAATATTGCGTTCCAGTCCGAGCGAATAAAAATAGCTGACGCACCTTGTAGAATGCCAAGGGCCCCTCGTTCTTGAAGATACCTCCTGCACAATCGAGCATGCCACGGTACGTTCCTTTTGGAGCAGTTTGCATCCTCTGCAAGAAACATTAAGCTTCTCCTCGTTCAGAACTCGCAAGAGCGCACTGACAACTTTGACAATATCAAAAGGTTGGCCCACCAGCACCTGTGACGACCTTGCTCAACGCACCACCTTAACACCCGTCATTCGAGCAACTTCACCTGTGCAATACCACCGGCCGTGCCAGCGATGAGGTCTTGTGCCGTCCTCGACATCCTGGAGGCAACTTGGTGGTACGGAAGCAAGGAACGAGGATGCGGACGTGTTGGGGGGCCGTCAGCGAGTCAGTTTCAAGCCGTCCAGCGCCCAGCCAATCACACTAAGAGATAGCAACTTTTGCGGGAGCAGACAAGATAAGATAGACGCTGGATACACTTTGAGGAATCCGTGATCATCGAGCATGTGCAGGGGGCGTGGTCGCGGTATAGATACAGCAAAAAGCAAGAAAAAATATGAATGACAGGGATGAACAAACGAATAAATAAGCGAATGGGCGGCGGGATGGTCATCGCCTAAAAAATAAATACCAGCAGCCCAAGATTGCTCAAACCCATAGATCCTTCACATCTTCGTCCCAACCGTCTTTCGACCCGTAGACGACCAGGGGTGAGGAGCATAGTACCGCTCTTTCGTACGAGCATCGGCCGCCCTCCAATGCCTTTTCGATTCTTCTGATTCTCGCTGCCAGGCTTGGGCGATGGCCTCGGCGGGAGACATGTGAATTGGACGGCGGGGCATGGCGTTCGGGAGGGCGTGGGAAAGAGCGTAGGCGGACGAGTCCGATGCCATCTAGGTTGCGATAGGAATGTTAGAGTTCCTTAGACCCAGCAATGGGACAGAAAATAGTGAGCGTACTAGAGTCGTCGAGGGGTCATTACAGATAGGGCATGAGAGACAAGGTTGGTTCTTATATAAGACAGCTCATTCAGCGTGTTGCATGCCGGGACGCCTCTCGGAGCTTCTTCTGCCCCCACGGCCCTTGTGAGCCAAGGTTTCAAAGCGTAAGAGCCAAAGAGAGAACATACGCACTTCCGTAAAGATGCAGGGGTACGATGCCCTGCGTTTCCCAAAATGGCAGTATGAAAGAGAGTTCCTGCGCGGTCCTGGGGAAGAAGAGGGAAAATGTGGTCTTTATTGAGATGTCAACGGCCGGAAACGGAGAGACATTGTTGACGGAGCAATTCAGGCGCGGATAATAATGGAGATTGGACCAGCATTAGTATTCTGAAGGGGTCGGAAGGCGCGGAGCGGCGGAGGCAAAACTCATCTATGCGGACAATAGGTCAGATAACACACGACAAACACACGGCGATCATCTGTAAATCAAGAAATTGGTAGATTGATACTGAGGCCTGAGGGACAATGGGGAAACAACGAGGGAGAGGACACGGGGTACGACTCACGACCATCTCTTCTGAACACGCGCCGGATGGCGGCCAAGAGAGCCTGGAGCAGCACGTCACATCCCATGCATTCATTGGAGCGCACGGTCGCCTTCGCTATCATGCGAGGCACCAGCGTGTCCTGACGCAGCGCGTGCAGAGCGGTGGCAATGCAATTCAGGACCCTGTCGAAGGCCAGAACGACGGACAAAAGCTCGCGCCTCAGAGAGATTTCGCACCGTCACAATTTTGTCAAAGCCGCACCGCGGGCGGCGGCAAGGTGCGCGCCGCTTTCCCATGTAATATAAGGATTGGAACAGGGCGGAGAGGTTGCCGTAGCGTCAAGCTCAGACCTCGGAGATCCAGGACGTGGTTACATGAGGGCATGAGCTCCTATCTTGCCTCGCCCGCCGGCTTACGGCAAGAAGATGGACAGGAGACAGATTGCGATGAATGCGTAGTCCACGAGGCCCGCAGAGCTGCGTGTTTCTCTGACGGTCGGTGAGAGAGGGCAGAGGCAAAGCGCAACCGGGGCGCTTTGCAGTGCTGGGCGTCTGTTTCCTTAGTTGCCTAGTTTGGAACGGCCACAATCAGTGGGAATCGACTTGGAGTCTCGAGAGCACTTACCTCCCTGCTCTGCCCCCAAGCAATACCGCTGATGACGAAGGAAACGCCGCGCGCGGCGCCGAAAAAGCTGCTTGCGATGACAAAACTGGTTACGGAGCCCGCTTACCCGACGCTGGCCGACCCCCTACCCTGTCGCAGTCGCGCGTCGCTGACGAAGCAGAACACCTGAGCTCGTCATACCGATAAGTACTCTGTCATCGACCACCAGGGTCTCACCTGCAATTTCCGCCCTCGCACGACCACTCATCTCCAAGATGGCACAGAAGTAAGCAGCGAACTCTGCTGGCAAGAACATCTGTCCTTATTGTCTCTCAGCCAGGCACCCGTCAACTTCTTTGGAGGATCCCCGCTCAACCGTCTGTCCTGGCTGCGCGCCTCAGAACACTTTCTCAACGCTATCGTGACCAGCACTACCACGCGCTGGGTGCTCTTCAAGGCCGGCCAGACCCTCTTCGTGTCCGACCCAGAGACCAAGGCACGTTCTGTTGCCCGTCTCGCGACCACGGATGTCCGCCCGCTCCTCGGCACTGAACCCTTCTTCGCACAAGGCAAGAATGACGGAGATATCGCTGAACGCGGTGTCCCCGTGCTCGAATCTGCCAGGATGCGTGGTCCCGGTATCATTTTCCTCGGCTTGCACGACCCGAATCTGCCAACCACGCGCTGCCTTCGAGCGACTTCAACGCCAAAGCAGACGCTGAGGCTGTGATCAACAAGATTCAAGGAACACCTTACTTTACGCTTGACGTGACCCATCTTGAGGAAACGGCTGTGAATGCGGTCTTAGAGAACGCGGAGGCATCGCGAAACGGCAAGTCGCTCGTGTTCACGGACGCGAGGCAAGCCATGAGTAGCATGGACTATTTTGAGGGTGGTTTACTTGCCGAGGCACGGGCCATGGTTGACTGGAACTCGAGGAACAAAGTGCGTCCGCTTCTTGTATTTCGCAGATCACGGCATCAACATTTCTTGTAGTTCTGCGTGTCTTGCGGTTCGCCCCTGTACTCGGTTTGGGCCGGCTGGAAGCTCTCGTGCTCGTCCTTGCTCCCCTGGGCTCAGAACGAAGGCAGGGAGCCGTGCGCGACCGCGTAAGTGGTGTTGCTTCCGCGAAGCGCCGCTGACACTGAATCTCGTCGCTCAGGGTTGGATTGCACAACCAAACGCACCCACGCACTGACGCCGTCGTTATCATGGCAGTTATAAACGAGGCGAACGACAAGATTCTTCTGGGTCGTAACGTAAGCACCGATCACAATGTGCTGTTAAGTCATTTCTCACCAAAAGTCCAGAGAAAATGGCAGGGCAAGTTCTACTCTGCTCTCGCTGGCTTCATAGAACCCGGCGAGACATTCGAAGATGCGGTGAAACGCGAGCTATGGGAAGAGGCAGGACTGAGAGTTTGGGGTGTCAAGTACCACTCGGCACAACCTTGGGTCAGTTATTGTCTTGTGCGCGGGCCGTACCCTTACTCATTTCGGAAATTAAGCCTTTCCCTGCAAATCTCATGGTTGGCTTCTTCGCTATCGCAGACGAAACTGCTCCTACGCGCATAGACCTCGATAATGAGCTAGAAGGTGCGGACATTACGGAGCTCTGCCCATTGTGCTTCTCTTTACATTATTTCCGCGGATGCAGACGCTAGATGGTATACTCGCGAGGAGATCCTCGCCGTCCTTAGCTCTCCTGAAGGCACCAAGCTGCGAGGAAATGACCCGTTCAAGCCTGTTGACGCCGGCGCAAACGAGCCGCCGTTTAGGCTCCCACCGCTGACCGCTATTGCGGGTGTGCTCATCAGTGACTGGGCCCACCGTAAGTTCGTGATCACTGGCACGGAATCACGTCTCTAGGCGCGGCCCGAATATTGAATCCGACGCACACTCCTTGCTTGTACAATAGAGACGTAAGTGCGGCCGTTCGGATATCTCACTCTAGACACCCGTCGGCGTTCCCAGGTATATCGAATTGGATCATTTAGCTTACGGTCATTCATTAGCCGTGGTTGGTAGAGGACTCGTTCAAGGGTGCGATTAGGAACATTCCGTAGCCTCGTTGCGTCCTGCCTTTTGACCGTGACCTAGAAGTGGTCGTTGAGATAGCGTCACTTTCCTTCCGGCTCCGTCCTAATCTGAGTTGCCGAACCTGAAACTCCCTAAGGACTGACGTTCTGATATGCATGTCGACTACGAAACTCGGGCATGTGGAACTCTACGCGCGCCCTCTGAGCGTGAACGTGCATGTCCCTGAGATGCGCACCGGCGGTTGAACCTCACTGCTTTTGCAGCAGCCGCTCACATTGGGTGCATGCCCGTTCCTGGCCTCATCGTCATTGACCGAGTTGCCTGTTGTCTCCGAATAGGACGGCTGCAGCAGGCCCATAGCAGACCGGCGGTGTACTCGGGATGCCTCGGACGCGGGCGGTCTCGCGCAGGGGTCCCATGACGCGCGGCTGACGAATGTTACCATTCAGTTGATCACGAGCTCGTGTAACCGAGTGGCAAGCCACTGAAACCCTCCGGCGACGGACGAGTACATATGCATGCAAGTTCGCGGCCGCAACCTGCTCCTGACAACATCGTGATGCGCTCGATACACAAGATCCAAGTGCGTTCGTACGCAAGCTCTGCGTAAGTCGGCCTGCGCGAGCACACCGAGAGGTATTTCAGATACTTACACGCCTGCCCATGTGCATGCAGCAAGGGCTATACCCACTACTTTGCTGGCGCCCCCCTCAATCGGCTCGCCTGGCTGCGCACCTCGCCTGGATTCCTAAACGCCGTCGTGCGCTCCCCCGAGACGCGCTGGGTGCTCTTCAACGAGGGCAAGCCCCTACTCGCCACGCCCCCCACGGGCACCGCTGCGCTCGCCCGGCTGTCGACGCAGGACGTGCTTGCGCTGCTCGGGCCGGAGCCGTTCTTCTCTCAGGCACAGAACCCAGGCGATGCCGCGCCCGCGGACGTGAAGGAGCTGCAGGCTGCGCGCATGCACGGCCCGCCCGTTGTCTTCCTCGGCCTGCACGAGACCGTCGAGGGCGCACACGCGCTGCCGTCAACTGAGTTCAGCGCGCGTCAGGGCGCCGAGGCCGTCGTCGCGCGCATCCAGGGCACGCCATACTTCTCACTCGACGTCAGTGACGTCGCGCCCGCGAACGTTGACGCGGCGCTCCAGGGCTCGCAGCCCGGGCGCGACGGCGCGAAGCTCGAGTTCGTCGACGGGCGCGCGGCGATGAGCCTTATCGACCAGTTCGACAGCGGTGTCTTCTCGGTTGCGAGGACGCTCGTGGACTGGACGGCGAGAAACAAGGTCGGTGTTTGACGTTTAGGTGCTTTGGCTGACACCTGGGGGCTCAAGTATGTGAATACAGTTCTGTGCAGGGTGTGGTTCGCCAGTATACACGCTCTGGGCTGGGTGGAAGCACGGATGTACGTCTCTGTTGCCATGGGCTGCAAAGTCGGCTGAGAAGCCATGCCCCACCTCGTAAGCATATTTCTGACGCGCACAAATCTATGACACATGGCTGAATATTGTGCCTCTAGGAAAGCTTTGAACAACTACATGCACCCGCGAACGGACCCGGTGGTCATCATCCTGACTGTCAGCCCGGACAACAGCAAGATCCTCCTCGGACGCAACGTAAGCAATGCATCGACTTATACACGACGCCACGACTGACGTCCCCAAGCGCAACTGGCCGAAGAACTTCTACTCGGCGCTGGCTGGGTTCGTCGAGCCCGGCGAGTCCCACGAGGACACGGTTCAGCGCGAACTCTGGGAAGAGGCCGGCGTCAAAGTGCTCGGGATGAAATACTCCTCGACGCAGCCATGGGTGCGCCGGACGTTGTTTTGAGCCGTGCTGCCGGAGGTCCTGACATGCTTCCTCAACCACAGCCGTTCCCCGCGAACGTGATGGCGGGCTACTACGCCGTCGCCGACCCTTCTGAACCGGTCCGCACCGACCTGGACAACGAGCTCGAAGGTGACCTTTTCCCCGCTCTCCCCACCCTCTCCACGTAACACTAACGCCCCCCTGAACACCCTCATGTTCTCCTGCAGACGCCCGGTGGTTCACTCGCGAGGAGGTCCTGTCCGTCCTCGCAAACGCCGACGGCGCCTCCGCGAAGCAGGCGCCGAAGTGGGACTCGGGCGTCGAAGAGAACGCGCCGGCGGCGGAGGACGCCGCCAAGACGAAGAACGAACCGCTGTTCAAGGGCCCGCCGGCGAATGCCATGGCCGGCGTGCTGATCAGCCACTGGGCACACGGGAAAGTCGACGTGAGTTTGAGGCAGGACGGGGATCTGCTGTGAGGCGCATTATCGTACGCTCGTGGGCTCCGAACTTCCGGACTCCGCGTCGTTCTGTGAAGATTCTAGTGACGACACTTGTACGCTAGACAAACGAAACAAGCAGCTTGAGAGCGAAACTGAACACAGCAAAATACTGACGACAGCCACCAGTCTAGTGCCCTTTCGCAACAAACTTCGGAGTCAGTGCCATCTCGTGGTTACTCAGCGTGACCTTGAGCGCGCGCACGAACACCCTGGCCGTGCTATCCGCGAACGTGCTATCCAGCGTGATTGGCATGAGCTCGTTCTCGTTGGTGTCCTGCACGCGCTGCC